AAATTCAGGTAGCATTATTATCGAATAGGAATTCCTTCATGTTTCCTGTGTTGATATAAATATGAGCAACATGGAAGATCATTATCAATCATGCGAAGAAAGCAAACAAATCTTGGCTAATTATTAACAAGCAATTTCTTTGTAAAGTTTCGACATTTGACCTCCATGTTCATGAAAATAAACACAAAACAATACGAGTGGAATTATTATGAGCATCAATAATGAGATCTGTTTGTCATTGTCTTCAAAATTTAATTTGTAAAGTTTGTTAAAATTCATGGCGCATCTCACTGTTTCCATATCTTGAAACAAAACTGTATACTCCACAAGTTCACATGTTGCAGAAATAGTTTCTGAAATCTGATTTATGAATTTTTGTTCATGTACAGGTACATGTACATGTACATTATTAGCATTAAGAATGATAAACTCATAAATTATTTTAAATCAATTCAGTTCATTTTTATTTGCATATTTGATTAAAATCACCGTAACAAACACACAATACAAGTCAATTCCAACAAATAAAATACAACAGAACAGAAGTATCAAAATGTGGGGGGACAAACAAAGGTCAAAGGCTTGTCCGTAAACTATATAAGTAATCAAATATAAAATAAGTGGTACAACAGGAAGAAAGAGAAAAACAAGACAAACGTATTTTGAATTAATGATTGTGTAGATTTCATCACAGCATGTACCGGTTCATGCAAGGCTCCTTCGTTTGATCATATTTATGCACACTTTCATTTTTACAAACAAGTTTCAGCCAAAATAAAAGAAACTAGAAAATGCTTGGTCAAGAAAAATTGTATACATGTACATATACCATACATGTATAGACATATTGGCTTGACAGAACAGGTGTATTGAAAAGTTACGCGGTCAAGTCTTTCATTTTGATTGTCACGTCTCATTTCCCTCTGAATATCATCATCATCATCATCATAATACATCATTGCCTTGTAATTGACTTTCATGACAGCAATATCCCTCCCCTAATTGCTATTCACAATCCCTGGATTGATATCATAATCCAACCATGACTACAAAGTCATCTTCTATTTTAATAATAAAGGGCAGTTTAATAGGACACTGGAACTGATTTGAAAAAAGTATACCATAGCCCCAGATGTACAGGTTTGTAAATGTACATGTACAGTGTTTATGATAATGTTTGTAGGCTAGCCGCTTGGAGTGCTCTTTGTTCAAGTTAGTTTTATGTCGCCGTATTTCTACTAGAATTGTATGCTATATTTGAAAAATATCAATGTTGTATAGTATTGACGCTGAGTAAATCACTGTTATTACATTGTACTTAAGTTTGATAAAATATGAAATTTGCTATTAAGTTAGGTTATACAGCGTATAAAAAATGTGGTGCTGTTTAAGTTCTAAAGAATTTTATTGAAGTAATATTGTGAAAATGTGTTATATTACTATTAGTTATGATACATTGTGTTAAATAGATCTTTTAAAAAATAGTGATTTTCTATATTTGCCTATTTTGGGGGAATGTAGTCTCTCAATCATTTTTGCTTTCATTATTCATTTACATGTACAACTGTACATCAAGTAAACATTTCATATTGCATACGTGTAGGCCTACATGTACATGTCCTATGTAATCATTTACCAACATTTCTTTCCCAAAGTACATGTTTACATACAATATACCTGCACTATCTGCATATTGAAAAGAATCTGTCTTGCATACAAGTACATAGAGGGGCAAAAACAACTTTATACAGCCATACAGATAAAATATATGGAGTAAACAATGACATTCCATTGTCATGACCAAAGTTTTCCATGAGTCTCAACAAACATCTTTCATGCTCACTGTGAGGTCAAAGGTTTAAAATGATTCTCTTTTCTTTCTCTCTCTCTCTCTCTTTCTCTAGCTCAATTTCTTTTTGTATCTTTTTGTATCTCTTCTGATCTCTTCTCATCTCCGTTTGATGTTTTGTTTTAGGCAGGTACAGTACTGTTTTTTCTGCTTCTTTTGCAGCCACTCTGAACTAAAATATGACATCTACAGGGGGTACGCAACGTATAAAGAAATCTATTTAAAAACTTCAAAGAAAACAATATAACGGCTATCATATAAACATGTATACATCTATTATGTACAGTCATCGTGAGGACAGAGTCTTTTCATTTGTCAAGGATTTGTAAAAGAATGATATTGTTTGTGTGCATCCAGCCATGGCAGAAGAAGGAGAAGGCGCGGTTCCATTATGCACGCACACACACTCTCAAGGTACACATGCAATGCTTGTCTGCATTCCGCACGATTGACTCACCCCACTTCAACTGCACAATGATGCAGAGTAGAGGCCGTTCGTTCGTTCTCTGCATTTTGTGGTGAACCTGTAGATTGTATGCAGGCTTTTGTGTATGAATCTGGCCGCTTTGTGCGGGGGTGTGTGTGCCCTCTCTGAATACTCTTCGTTCAGTGAACTGACACAGCGGGGGCTGTATTGCATTTGAACTTGCCACCTGCAGATTTCCATATGAATCATGTTTATTAAATAGATGGCTTTTGAGAAATTTGTATGAATACATTTTTTTTTCTCTCTAACTTGCGTTAACCTGTATTGGAAAACTATACATGTAGGCTTACTGGCTTACTGGCTTATACTACATACATGTAGTAATGCTGCAGTATACATGCATGCCTAATGTGTTTTTATGTACTCTTGTACAGTAAGCCTAGATTTGTAGATGATACACTGACTTGCATACATCTAGTTCTTACAGCCTACATGTACATAATGTATGTTGAAAAGCTGAAATAATATAATCACTTAATTACTTACATAATATATTTATGTTTTTCCATGAAAATTCACAATTGCACATGTATGTTCAATCAACATTATCTCAAAGAAAGCTATGTTTTATTTTAAACATAAAAACTGTTTCACTAATATCATTTATGTACATGTACAGGTGTATATTCAAAAAAGTTGTACATACATGTACCGGTATGTACATTTACACCAAATATGAACATGTGGAGAAAAGATCTACATTATTACAACTACATTGTAAACCTCCTTTTCCAAATTGGGGGAAGGGGGAGGGGATGCAAAAAAGACGGTGTCTATTGTACTGTGAATTACTCTTTGAAGCTCAAGTCTCAGGTGAGATGGACAAAGACAAACTTTGTTTGGATTACAAAGGGGAGAATTCCATGTTTTGGCCTTTAAAACCTCAACCCTTTTGTGTCAACAAACCAAGGAAGTACTGGTAGGCCTATACATGTATACAGTAGGCCCATTCACACTGCAGAAAACCCCGGTTGAAAAACCAACGTTTCTTTTTTAAACTACGATTTACACTACTGGAAAATCATAGAAAGATTAGATTTTCTGTTTTTTTCTTTCTGAGTTGTGGGCATGCAATTTACCTATTGCTGCTCTGCATGCGTTAACGCTGAAGCGAGGAGAGTCATGAGACCCCAAAAAGGAATAACCTACTGGTGTTTTGAAAGTAAGCATTCACATGCACTGCAAAAACCAGTACAGTTTTCGGCTGGCGATTAAAAATCAAACACACTCCAGAGTTGGGTCTTTCTATTTTGTTTTTTCGTTATGGGTAAATACCTAGGAACTTAAGATAAAACTCCAGAATGTGGGGAAAAAACCCAGCAGTTTTTGTTTGTTGTGTAAATGCCCCTATACAGTGGGGGAAATGGATGGACAGTATTATTGATAGTGTAAAAATTCAATATACAGCTTTAAGCTTTGGCTTCTTGTTACTTCTTTGGTAAAGAACTGACACTTGTATAAAAAATGCATATCTTTTATCGTTGTCACATTCTGTTCTATAGTTACACACATGTACATGTAGGTCTACAGTGAAAAAAAAACACTTCATGTTATACTGTTCTTATTATGTCTCATTATCTCTATAAATGAGCAACTCTAAGCCTTTTTCCCCCATTCATAATTCATAACCACATGTACATGATATACTTGTATGTCTGATAACAGTTTCAAGCTGATATGCCTATTAGTGCTTGAATCCGAAAAAACATCAAATACGGTTACATTTTTGTGTTGATTAATGTTCACAATTCCAGACAGTGAAAAAAATACACGGGGGCTCGGGCGATGTAGCCCCCGATAATCAGAAAAGAGCCCCTGTAAATTTGCATAGCGTTCAATGCAAAACAAATTTTAGAATGTTATTTTCATGCGGGAAAGCGTGAAAAGTAGCCCCCGAAAAATAAATGTTAATTTTTTCCCTGATTCCAGAATAAACTAAATAATACTACTTCATTACATACCAGTATATGGGACACCTTTGACTATTTACCTTAATAATATGTTTGATTCTAAGCCCAAGATAAATCAATGTTGAGTTAATTGGAAATGTTTTGTATCATGTACTAAAATCAAAGTTTACCGATGGTTTAAAGGGATCGTTTCACAATGTTAAATCTGAGATACACGGCCCTACGCGTTATCAGTGTCTGTGATATGGTGTAATATTGAAGCCCTAAAAAAATTGCGCTTCAAAATGATCAAGAAGTGCCTCAAAAAAGTAAAAATCTTTGAGTGACCGGTTTTACCATACTCTTTTTCCCCAATAGACTGTAGTGTTATGAAAACCGTCAGGCGAACGGTTTTCAAAATTTGTGATTCCAATCATAAATATCTTGATAATCAGACAAGCGATCAGCTTGTAAAAGTCATGGGGTTCCTAAAGGTTTATAATTATCATTGCATCATGAGCTAAATCCAGAATTTTGTTTCAGAATCTGAGACAAAGTTACCGGATCCCTTTAAAGATGCTCATGCATGTGAAGTAGGCAACTTGGCGATCACTACATAACACTGTGCGTACGTCCGTGTGCTGATTTCTATATACATGTACATGTACCCACGCTTGAACAACTTAAATAGGTAAAAGCTTATACTACAGTATAATCTTTCCCTTCATCATTTAATTTCATCAATTTCTCTTTTTTTTTCCTTCAATATTTGTAGATGCACTTGACACATTGGTGGTGACCTTTGACATCCTGGATGCCGATGACCTCCCGGTCTGGACCATGCCGGTGTACCCCTACATCGCTGTGGTGCCTACGGATGCCCCCAATCAGGCCTGCATCTACACCCTCGAAGCCTCTGACCAAGACTTGGGAAGCGACATCACTTACTCTTTGAGGGCAGGTAGGTTACAACCGGGAATAGGGGCTGAGAGCAATTCGCCCTCTAGAAGCTAAACAGTGCCTCTTTTAAATCTTTTGGAGTGTAAATCCACTGTTATACAAATTTAGATCCTGCCAAGTTTCAACCAGGGATAGAGGCTGAGAGCAATTTGCCTCCATACAGTTAAAAAAATGCCCCCTTTGAAATAATAATTTTTAAAAACCCACTATAAAATAATAATTTTTAAAAGCCCACTATAAAATAATACAAACTTGGATCCTGCCAAGTTACAGGTAGATACATAATATGAAATTGTCTTACAACAAGACCAACCCAGGCAGTGAAAAAAACAAACACATTGCAAGCAGGTAGGTTTCAACCGGGGATAGGGCCAAGAGCAATTCGCCCCCTAAAAGCTAAACAGTGCCCCTTTAATTTTTTTGTGTGTTAATCCACTGTTATACAAATTTTGATCCTGCCAAGTTAGATATAAAATATATAATTGCCTAACAATAACAAGACCAAGGGTCCAAGACCCAGGCAGTGAAATTACAAACACATTTCAAGCAGGAAGGTTTCAACCAGGGATAGAGGCTGAGAGCAATTTGCCTCCTTTAAGTAAAAAAAAAAAGTGCCCCCTTTGAAATGATTAATAAAATAATACAAATTTGGATCCTGGTAATTTAGATGGATTGAAAAATGTAAAATAACATCACAAAGCCAGTATTTATTAGTGCTGATGTTTTTTTATTCTTTGTCCATACCTTTGTTGTTGAGACTTTACTTTGATTTTTTTTTGTTTCCGAGTAGCAGTATCTTCTAAACTTTCTAAAGATAAGTGCTCAGCGTATATAAGTAGAAGTAATGATATCGTTCCTACATTATCAAAGACAACATTTAATACTTTCGGTACTGCACCATTTTTGTTGAACATGCATTTCCAATATAAAGTCAAGTCAGGCTTCATAATCAAGGGGTTAAAATTTGTTATTCTATCTCATATAAAATACCTATCTTCTGAAATATAATATTCTGTGACATACGTACTTACAGGTGGAGATGGCGCTTTCACTGTGGGCGAAACAGATGGCTGCGTTTACACGGCCATCGTAAGCGGGTTTCCGGGCTACGTGCAGGATCTAGAGTACATTCTCAGCGTGATGGCGACGGGTACGAGCGGTAGTTTTGATGGAGGGGTAACCGGGACCGTCCGCGTCTACGGCGGCTCGTACCCACCTCAGTTCAGCCAAGAAGAATACAGTGCTTCGGTGCTGGAGGACCAGGCTAATCAGGCGTAAGTTATACTCTTAATTTCTCTCTCTCTATCTCTCTCTCTCTCTCTCTCTCTCTCTCTCTCCCTTCCTCCCTCCCTCTCTCCCTCCCTCCCTCCCTCCCTCTCTATGTATGTATGACTGTGTATGCATATATGTATGTATCTATCTATCTATCTTTAATTAGAAAAGGAATATATGAAAACAAAGCCATTTGTATTTTTTTTTACTGTCAGATCAGAAACGTTGGCAGCATGAAACTTTCTTAAAATGTCAATGGCAGTGATTTTGACAGCAAGAAGCTATTGCAAGTTCGCAAAAATAAAGTGCTTATGTCAGTTGAGATTCGTTTTTGCAGTATAAATAACTCACAAAATTATAGACATCATGAACCAAATTTGACTGGTGATAAAGAAGTTATCCAATAAAGTCTACTTCTACCGTCTCCTTCTACCATCTACTACTTCTACTTCTACCGTAAATGGAGAAGTCTTGTACTGTTGTCACCTCCTATCTGATTCTACTTTGATACTATGTTTGACTGATTTTCATTTGTTGAATAGTACATGTACAGGTACCTTTAATGGGATCCGGTAACTTTGTCTTAGATCCTTTAAAAAATATCCTTGGTTCAGCTCATGCTGCAATGATAATTATATACCTTGAGGTAAAGTCAGGAACCCCATGACATTTACAAGCCGATCGCCTGTCTGATATCAAGACATTTATGATTGAAAATCGAAATCAAATTTTGCGTTTGCCTAACAGTCTAACACTAAAGTCTATTGGGGAAAACGAGTATGGTAAAACTGGTCACTCAAAGGTTTTTACTGTTTTGAGGCACTTCTTGATCATTTTGAAGCGCAATTTTTTTAGGGCTTCAATTTAACACCATATCACAGACACTGATATCACATAGGGCTGTGCATCTCAGATTTAACATTGTTAAACCATCCCTTTAAGCAAAATTAAAAGTTACACTGAGCTAAAAACAAACTAAAACTAAAAGAGCTGCGTTGTGTGAAAGCGTGTCTCAGCACCTAACTCCAAACCATTGTCTCCTTAGGGTCATCCAAGTCACAGCATCATCCTTCTCACGCAACGTTCCATTGACCTACTCCATCGTCGGCCCAGAAAACAGACCCTCCCACACCATCAACGCCAACGACGGTACCATCACTCTCGTAGACGCCATCTTAGCAGAGGATCTGCTATCCTACTTCTTGACAGTGAGGGCCACGGAACAGGTGGTTGATGGACTCTCGTCTGAAGTTAGGGTAGGTATACCAGGCCTGATAATTACCCAATTTAAATCGGTTTCCCAATTTTATTTATTTTTTAATATTTTTTAGAAAACAATTTTCCTGATTTTCCCCTTATTTTTCCTATTTTTCCCTTTCTTTCCCGATTTTTTTCCAATCTTTTCCAATTTTTTTCCAATTTTCTTTTTTTTTTCCTGAATCTTTTTTTGATTTTTGTTACTCAAGGGGGAGGTAGTATACCCCTTATTACGCCATATTCACAATCCAAAATGAGATTACTCCTATGAAAGGGAATACTTCAACTTTCTTTTTAATGGCTATTCTAAAATATCACATTTTTGTAGAGAAAGATAACCCCCCAAAAGAAAGCACAAAATAAGAACAATAATAATAACCACAATCAAACAAAGAATGACATTTGAAAAAAAACATGAGTGAAGCGTTCTTATAATAAAGGACAATAGTGAAGTGATAAACACAGAAAAGAAACTTGCCAAGAACCACATAGATTGAAAACACCAACATAGATATTTGTGTGTGGTGACATCACACTTACTTGTAAGAGTTGATGTTTTCATAGCTAAATTTCAATAAGTTGTGTACTGGTATAAGGCAAAATGGAAGATGGATTCCTTTACAATAGTACCGGTAGTTATTTATATTTTAGATTTGAAGAGAATTGTATCCTACCAGGAAGCACTGTTGAATGAAAAGTTACCTAAACAATATAGTTTGGCCTTAGGATATCAAACGCTGGATTATCATTGCCATGACATCAGCCAAGCTTCCACGTCAATTATGCTCTTGATCAGTAAATGAAGTGTTCGATTCCAAAACATCCATAAGCAAAGTTCCGAGAAAATTTCTCATGATCAATTTGAAATGAAACTCAGTCATATGGTACTATTGTGTACTGGGATGACATAATCACTCTTATTAAAAAAATCCAGGGTCCATAGTTTTTGTGTAATTAATCAATCGGTTAAATCAAATCTGTGGATGTAGAATGTTTTGGAACCGAACACATTTTTTCTAAGGCTCGATCTAATTATTTTCTCATAGGAAATGTAAGTTTTTGATTCGTCAATATGCATGCATGAACCATCCAATCTCTCTCATTCTTTCTATTTTTCTTCTGCGATTCGTAATAGAATTGTCTAGATAGACGGTGCTATATAAATGCCTATTATTATTATTATTATTATTAACTTAGTACTAGAAATTAGAACATTCTTCAAAGAGGTCAACTTTGATCTAAACTGGATATGGCATGTTTAGGAACTGAACTCTTCTTTACATTATATTTTATCACTTGACGAAGTGTGACGAACCGTCGTGATCTTTTAGATTCCTTGTTGACCATACATTGCAAGACAAACAAATATAACTAGCGATATTATTTTCGATACTACATCTGCAGTGAGTAATATATTTAGCATTATTGAACTCTTCTTATACTCTTTTCAACCTAGGTCAATGTGATGGTTGAAGATGTTAACAACTGTGTTCCTACTTTTGGACAAGACATTTTGAGTTTCAATGACGTTCTCGAAACAACCGCTATTGGAGAGCCCGTTGGTACAGGTGAGTTCTATTTTCTTTTGTACGTATTATCATCATCATCATCATCATCACAGTCCGTTTTTCCAATGCTGTGGGAGTGGATATTTCATTTCCCTTTGCAGCATCCACCTGGGTGAGGCCCAGGGTGCGTTCAAGCGATTTTTGAACAAACATGAATCGAAAAGCAAAACACGATTACTGCGGGAGATCGTTCAAGCGATTTTTCATCAACGGTAGCTGCGACCATGAAAATCTCAGAATCTCCGTTATTTTCAAACAGGGCTATTTTTTTTCCACGACTGTAATGTTTAAACCATCTTTCATCATCCTTTTGATAAGTTCTTAATCATTTCATTGAAATTTGCGTCATACTTTTCATCCTCAGTTACGGCTACCGACTGTGACGTGGGGCCAAACGCGGAGCTGACCTACTCCATCACCACCCCAAACAGCGGCTTTACGATCGGCAGCGACACAGGGGTCCTCTCCCCCGCCGTCGTCTTGGACTACGAGGAAGGGGACCGCTACTACACCTTTGCCATCACCGCCACCGATGGGGGAACCCCCCAGCTGAGCAGCACCGCCACCGTGGTCATCTCCATCGCCAATGCCCCGGAGGCTCCCTACTTCACGCCGCCCTCGTACAGGTTCAGAATGGACGAGGTTGCACAGGTCAACTATGAAGTGGGAACGGTGTATGCAAGCGACGACGATGTAAACGACGTGCTGACCCTTTCCATCGATGGTGGAGATGGCACATTCAGGATCGACCAATTTGGTAAACTGTCTCTTCATCTTATGTTCAGTACTTAGTTGAGATATTACTGAGTATTCCTTGCATACTGCAACCTTAATAACTGGTTTGGTATAGAACTTTAAATGTTAAATTGTAATCCAACACATGTGTTTTCATTAATTTTCCAATGTCCAGTATTTTCTCACTCTGGCAAATTAGCTTAGGCTTTTTTGTGTACAAAATAGCTAATTCTAGGTGATTTTCAGGCCCTCTGATCAATTCTAACTGGCATCCCTGGTGATAGGTCAAAGTAAAACAAAAGTTCCAGGATATGTATCACCTTTACGCTACCCTAGGGGCAGTGTCCAGGGGGGTGTTTTAAAAAGATCTTACTTAACTCCAAGCTCGACTTAAAACATTATGTAGAGCCATTTGTAGCCTTGAAATAAAATACATTAAAGCAATAAATTCGAGTATTTTAGACTTTTTATAAATTCCAAATCAAGAATATGAAATTTCCTTGATAATAGAAAATATGAATGATTAGAATCAACATTTTATGCCTTTTAAAATAGCTTTTACAAAATATTTCATAGATGCTAAACAGCTTTCCATAAACGTAAAGTCTAACTTAGAGATAAGTTAAACTTAGGATCTTTTTAAACACCCCCCCCCCCCCTGGTGTCACAGTCTAAGTATTATTTGTAAAGGCACACTGTATATCTCCAAAACCTTTTAAGGTAAGGTGTTATGAAAATCCTAATGGAGCTTTCTAACTCTTCAATCTGTATCACTTGCAGGAGTTATCTCTGTGGCCAGAGCAGCAGTCGAATCTAGCTATATGTTTGCTGTCGTGGCTAGCGACATAGCGAACAACGAAGCCAATGCCACCGTTGAAATCTCTGTCACCGATCTCAACGACAACATTCCAATATTTCCAGAGTGTGATAATTACAGAGGAGAAGTGTCTGAAGATGCAACCATTGACACAGACGTCATAACGGTGAGTGTAGACGGTATCGTCTGTTGAGATCTAGAAGGGCAATTTCATTTCATTTATTTATTTAAGCACGGAGGCCTACCTCAGCTCGCGGACTGTTCGTCCGTAGGGCCGTGCATATACATAAAAAACATACGATATCAAAATAACATATAAACAACATAATTCAATATAACAATGATAACATAAATATATACAAAACAGATATAACATACACTAAAAATACATATGAAATATCTAAAGGGGACGGGGATTACTCATTAATGGCTCTTGATTCCATATACTTATTTAGATTGCGTTTGAAATTCATAATAGATAACTCACATTTAAGTCCTGGTGAGATTGAGTTCCAGCACTTTGCACCGAAATCTCAAAACGTGTTTTTGATTTAGGTACAGTCAAACCTGTCTATAGCGACCACCCAAGGGAAACACAGAAAGTGGCCTTTGTAGACAGGTGGTCTTTGTAGACAGGTTCTTTAGTACATGATTCAATGAGAAACCATTTTCAAGGGAAACAACAAATGTGGCCTTTGTAGACAGGTGGTCTTTGTAGACAGGTGGTCACTAAAGCAGGTTTGACTGTAGTAAGAAATTATTAATTGAATTTCTCATATTATAATTACATTTTTTTAGTTCAAATAAATCTAGCAAGCAATAACTCTGAATCAATTGATGGGTGAGTTTTGACATTCAAAATAAAAAAACATGTGCTGGTATCAGAACAATCGATATTATTTCATGAATTACATATTTCGGACCACTTTGGTCGTTTCGTTCGGTGGCTAGCATCTCGCTACGCTGCACTGGTCGAACGATATGGACCCGCGAGCGCAAGAATTGGCCTGTCGCTGCTAGCCGGCGGGAGCACTGTTAATTGTGTCTCCACCCCATTGGGGTTATGAAAGCGGAGACCCATGGTTTCATACCTGCCTGTCTACCAAGTTACCATGCATTATTTCATTTCATTTCATTTATTTTCCATTAAAATTCAAAGTAAAATACATAACAAATTAACAGCAAAATCGGAAGGACCCCAAGAAAAGCAAAGCTTGTGAGAATGGGGCCCTGTACAAAAATAAACATACAAGCAAATTATTATAACAAACATTGTAAAACTTATCAAAACAAACATACCCCCACCCTCATTCATTCACATGCACACAGACACACCAACACACACCACAGGCAGAACATTGTACAGAAAAATCTACTCAGTGCACATCATGTGTTTAAACAATAACTGTTTACATGAATATTTAAACTTTGTTAGGGTTGAACTACTTTTTAAATTATAAGGTAAGGAATTCCAATCATGTATACCCTGGAATCTTAAAGTATGTAGGGTCAAGGAAGTACATACAAAGGGGTAATGATAGTTTGATTTATTTCTGGTTTCGTAAGAATGGTAAAAAGAATTTGTTTTAAACATGTTATTAAATATTGATGGGAGCTCTTGTTTATGAAAATTGAACATGAAGACTAAATTGTTTAATTTTATGAGGTCAAAGACTGGCAAACATTTCAAATCATAAAACAAAGGAGCACTTGAAGTCATATAGTTAGAATTAGTAATTATACGAACAGCACGTTTCTGAAGAATATGAATTTTATATAAATGAGTCTTGTAAGTATTACCCCAAATAACATTACAGTAGTTGATATGTGGTAAAACAATGCTGTTGTAAATAGTTAATAATATATGTTTCGGCAACGTCTTTTTAAAGAATGACATGATACCAACCCCCCTTGAAATTTTTGAACAAATATGGGTAATATGGTGGTGGTTATTTTACCTGACTGCTAAGAAAGCTTAAATGCCCTGATAATGAGGATTAATGCTTAACCAAAGGGCACTAGCGCATCGACTTGGTTTTGAACCTGTGTCACTGGATTACGAGACCACTGCTCTACCGACTGAGCTATCGCGCCTCTTCGCAAAGGGAGGACATTTTTCGTAATAAACCTGTTTTCCAATATCCCGGACTAACGTTCAACATGTTGTATGCCACATCTTGTTCCTCCGTAGGTGACAGCGACAGACTCAGACCAGGGATCCAACGCCGAGATTAGTTACAAGCTCTCGTCTAACAGTGATGCAAGCCGGTTCTTCCGGGTTGACCAGAACGGCCTCATCACCACCAATACCTTGCTGGATCGCGAGACCACTGCAGTGTTTGAGGTGACAGTTGAAGCAGAGGATGATGGGAACCCCGCTCTGACAGGGTTCTGTACGTTCACCGTCGAAGTGACGGATGTGAACGACAACTTCCCTGCATTTCCTTTCACGGGATATCAAAGTAAGCAAAGTGGCAATATCATTATTTCTTGTTTTTGAAGAAAAAAAAGATTTTTAAAATATTTTATTTAATTAAAAATTTGCAAAGGAAAATAAAGCTTTTTTGTCACAGGTTAGTAAAGTAAGCAAAATGGCAATACCATAATTTTTTAGTTTAAGAAAATTAAGTTTATGGCTAAAGAGTTTTTTAACCTCCTATAGTTCCATAAACTCTAGTTGTGGGTCACATAAATCGTATTGCAGGCCAATTTGGGCTTCATGCATTTCAGTTGAACGTAAGATTTCAAACAGCCCCTTTACCTTTTTGAAAAGTGATAACAATGGCCCTTGAAAATACATCCTTGCTGACATTGTACTTTGATGTGTTCTATTACAGCTTCAATATCAACCAGTGCAGCATCTGGTGATGAAGTAATAGAAGTGCGAGCTGATGATCTGGATTTAAACTCAGATTTGACATACTCTCTAAGCGCTGCAGATGGTGGTGAATGCGATACTGGATATTTTACCATTTTCCCTGCTACTGGAAGCATCATTGTTAGACAAGACCTTACTCCACTAATAGTAAGTGACACTATGACTTGTATTCATTAGGATGGGACTGAGTAGTTTAACTCAGTCCAGTTATCTATGGAGCATCAAGTATCAGCCTCTTTATTCTGTACAAATTACTATTATTCTGCAACAAAATGAATCAACGATATTGATTTCCAGAAGTAGGGTTCAAGAAAGAATTATACAGCTTGATTTTACGATGCCATGATTTTTTTAATACGTTTACTTAGCTACAGAAATTGGTTATGTTAAAGTATTTTCATTAATGGAATTAGGTTGACACCCAGTGCTCCATAAATCAGTGAAATAAATCTGCCGCCTTAAACCCAGACTAAAGTTAGTTCGCTGAATAAAAAATGTACCTCAAGTTAAAGCAGTTGGTAGAGGTTTTGTTGAAGTAATTGTATGTTTTATTATATCAAGGACAATGTAATTTCAATAGTGAGAACTTTGCACAGAATGATACTTAAAATGTTCGAAAATAGAGGGCGAAGATGGAATCAATTCCTAGAATAGTGATGGTTCTTTTAGTGTTGTATACCCAAAATAAAATTTACTGATTTTATAGAAGATTTCAGAGATGAGCCGGATCACTCAGGTAAGAGAGAAAAAGACAAGACAATGCATGAAAATTTCACCCAATCTCATTGACTTTGGAAATTTCAGTTAAATTAACCAAATTTGTTACTTTTGAAAATGTATTTGTATCATGATCGTAACTGTTATTTTGCATGGGCTGGACTGGTTGCGGTTGATGCTGAACTTACTTCTTGACATGTCATTTCAGGAATTTGGAAGCCCAAATGAACAAGATTGCATTGTGACGGCAACCGATGTTGGTGGCCAAGCTACTGATGTTCCCGTACAAATCGACGTTAGAAGCAGCGATGACGACACCTACCAAGTCCCAACGTTTTCTGCTACATCGTATCAAGTCACCATCAATGAAAACTCAATGTCACAGGAAGTCTTACTGGTGTCTGTTTTAGGAGCTGCCCAAGTTGGATTCAATATCATTCGTGGGTCACGCCCATCCACCAACTACAATCGTAATTTTGGCTTGAGTAACGATGATGATGAGTTCACATCAAGTTACATTACCGTGTTGGAGGCTCTTGACTATGAATCTGTTACACGGTGAGTTTTTCCCAGCACCTTTGAACCATGTCACCTGTGTACGACACTTTGTATACTTCATTTTCATTTTCATTTCAGTCAGTGGAAAAAATTACCTGTTTAGGTCTGGAGAAGCTTGCAGCACTGCAAGTGAAAGCCGACCCAAACAGATGATTTTCCACCAATTGTGAAGAAAGAACTAATTAACAAGTCATATTACCAATCAGATGAACCTCTTCAGTACATTTTCATTTACTCAAATCATTTTTCTTGATGTCGTCAATCTCTCTTGGGACTCTAGCTCATTACCTGTTACTCCTTTTCAATCGCTCATTTACGAAACTAATTTCAGTTGCTGCTAATCATAATATAATTAGCCCGCGTACATCTGAGTATCTGGAAAGTAACTGAATGTGGTTAGGTGGAATTTTCACAGGTGCCTCAAAATGATTTTGCACATGGTTGTTCGAAATATGGCAAGAAATAGCTGAAGTGTTGGACCAAACTTTCCTTTCACATGTTTGTTTTGTTTACTTCTAATCAGCAATGATTATCATGTTTTTAATTTGCAGGTACGATTTGATAGTAACAGCTAGGTACCCAAACTCGCCCTACACCGTGGAGACCAACGTAATCATCGACATCCTGGACGTCAACGACGAGACACCCATCTTCCCTGCATTCACATTCTATGGAAACATTGCAGAAAACCAACCACTACCCAATTTAGATCCTGTCATTACATTGGAGGCCACAGATTCAGATGTAACTCCAGAGTTCAGCCAGGTTTGTACTGCATCATACTTTGTTGTCGTATATATTCAACCCATTTTTATGCCTCCGCAACGAAGTAGCGGGAGGCATTATGTTTTTCGGTTGTCTGTCCATCCGTACGTCCCGTTCTCGTGATCTCAAGAACTGATTGATGGATTCCCGCCAAACTTGGGTCATGTATGTATCTTACAGAGCCCAAGATTAAATGTTGGGGTCAGGAGGTCAAAGGTCACAGGGCTCATTATGTATGCAAAAAAAGCTCGTGATCACATTATCATTAGAACCAATCGACGGATTATCATCAAACTCAAGACCTGTTTCTACCTTGCTGAGCCAATGAACTGATTAGATTTTAGGGTCATGAGGTCATACATGTATATGAAAAATAGAATGTAATCACAATATTCTGAGAACCAGTTAATGGATTACAATCAAACTTGAATTTTAAAAACTTGCTTCTATTTTGGTTTGTGAAATCGCTATATGGCGGAGGCATCCTTTTCGACTGTGCGCAGTCGAAGATCCATCTACAGAGATGCCAACTGTTCCGTTTTTGCCGTATTTGTTCCGTTTTTTCGCTATGAATACGGCAGTACGTTTTTAATTTTTTTTTTTTTAAATTTATTTATTTATTTATTTATTTATTTATGGCCTTACATAATGCACACACCCTCCACCCACTTCAAAAGAACCGCCCGCATCAATCATTCTGAATACTGACAGAACGCTTTCTGAGTCTCTTGCGGCAAGTTCTCTGTGGTACACAAGTTTTGCTGCTGCCGCCGCGTGCCACATTTGTTCATGCAATAATCGGTCATTCCGGCCAAGGCGTTTGTGTATGCGAACTCTGAAGCGATGCCTGTGGAAACAAATGCACGTTTGCCTTTTTAAAATGAGACAAGCTATTCATTACTGTTCACCCTCTTGCAGATTGTGTACAGTATTGACGGCGATCAGACGGACTTCAGGATCGATGCAAACTCGGGAGCAATATTCGCTATAACTGAATTCGATCGGGAAGCTGTGGCCGAAGATACCATTCCACTCACAGTCATAGCATCGGATGGTATCAATGAGAGTAAGTTTGCAGCAGGAGTTCAAACAAAATCTGGCTGGTTCAATTCAATTCAATTCAATTCAATTCAGTTCAGTTCAGTTCAGTTCAATTCAATTCAATTTAATTCAGTTCAGTTCAGTTCAGTTCAGTTCAGTTCAGTTCAGTTCAGTTCAATTCAATTCAATTTATTTCAACCATAAAAAATACATATAAAATAATTCAAATGGAAATATAAAAACATGGTGTTAGGAGCCCCAAAGAAGTTTGAATACAAACTTGTGGTTGGGGCACCAACCATGACATATATATCAAGAAATTAAAAAAAATAAACAAAAAAACATTAAAGGTAACACAAATGTATACAAGAAAAAGATTATAAAGACCTATATATGAGCATAAAATATTTACAGCAAAGCACCAGCCATAAGCCCACATGGGACTGTAACCTCTCGTGTTTTAAATGCATCCATTTCCTGTTCTTGGAGATGGGTTAGGAAACGATGAAAACACACATGAAGGTCTCATCAAGGTTCAACTACATAGAATCAGACTTGAATGGGACAAAATGAGATCAGACCTTTAAAATCTGAAGATGAAATCAATTCCAGTTCATGTTTCCTTCTACTAGATATATAGCACTGTTAAAAGAGAAGGTCGAGTTCTGGGAAGAGGTGACAAATAATTTGTGAGCGTTATCATTGTATTATGCAAGTGTGAAGAACATCAAATAAAAAATGTTCCTGGAAAAGCATGGCTTTTCAAATGTATTAATAATCTAAATATGGGATGTAACATCATCGTAGTCCCATATACATCTTTCTGTGTACAGAGCTTGTAAATTTTCCAAATTTCTTATCATTTTGATGATTCCAGAACCTTGCACTACACACTAATACTTATATGCTAGATGATCAACCTTTTCTGATCGATTCCACAACGTTTCTTTCACAATGCAATAGCATGACCAGAACTCAACTTTATCTTTAAAGCTAGTGCTGCTGCGGCTGCTACTACTACTACTACTTCTACTGCTGCTACTACTACTACTTCTACTACTACTACTACCTGCTTGTCTTGTTCATCTTATTGTTCTTCTTCTTCTCCTTCTTGCTCTTCTTGTTCTTGTTCTTATCGACCTTCTTCTTTATCCTTGACGATTTTCATTTACTTCTTGCTTTCTTTTTTTACTTTCCAGGTAGGGCTACTGTCTTCATTACCATTGTGGATGAGAATGATAACCAGCCTGAGTTCAATGGCACCTTCAGCTTCGATGTTTCCGAAGATGTAGAGATGGGTTATGAGATCGGCATGGTCACAGCCACAGATGCAGACATCTGTAAGTATTGGTCGTACGCCACATGGGCCGGTGAAGATGGCTCTGCGGGCAGTTTCGTACTCTAAAAGAATTCCCAACTTTGCCTCTTGACCAGAACTAACCTTATCCCTAGCCCTTACCAAACTACATTTGGCATCTTAATCTAGTGTTGATAAAAGTGAATCAGTAACATTGTTTAAGGTTGATGAAAAAAGTATGTAAGTTTTGTATGAAATGTTACTCATTATATTCCTTATACCGTACTAACCCTCTAACATGCAAAAAATCCTGGAAAATATTTATGGTTTTCTTTTAAGGTGTCACCTTGCGACACCCTCTAACAGTAAATTCTCCCAATCAATTTTTTGAATTTTCCCAACCTTTTCTCCATGAAAATAAAATAAAACAAGCTTTTAAAAATCTGTCAAAACTTCAATGTTTGGAATGGTATATAGAGCCAATTCATTGCTCTGTGACGATTTACATTTACCTAAAATTGAATTAAATTATAATAATATAGTTGGGAGAATTAAGAAATTGAGCAGATCAGTTTTTCCCAATTTGTATCACTAATAATGGTCCGTTTCACTCAAAATTTCAGATTATCTTTAATTGTACAACCTCTCATTGAAGTCAGCACCTGAGCACCATTTTCTCTCTTCTGAACAATGTTATAATGTCCCTTTAAGTGAAAATCGATAGTTGTTTTTTTTTCTTTGTACCTACCGGGTATCACAAAGTGAGTGTGTATTGCAATGATTAAACCATGTCTTGAAAGATAATTCATTATATTTCTTCGTCTTCAGCCGAGGACTTGGAGTACTTCATCAGTGGAGGCAACGTTGGCGGAGCCTTCACAGTGGTCGCCAACACCGGTGCCATCCGCAAGGCGGGCGTCCTGGACTACGAGTCGCTGACGTCGTACTCGTTGGACTTCAGCGTCAATGATGGCTTTAATACTGAGACCACCACTGTTGTTGTCAATGTCATCAACGTCAATGATGTAGCACCGCAGTTCGGGGAGTCTTCCTACTCGGTCACTGTGCTCGAGGAGGACGATTCCGATATTCCTAGAGTCCTTCTGACGGTATGTACGAAGTGTGAAATAAATATAATGTTGGAAGTTGATCGATGGTAGCTCAATACAGTGGCCTCTGTAAATATAATCCGCTCCAGGTATTATCATCATGAATTTTAAAATGATTCAAATGACATCACAATACCTGAAATTTTCAAATGCAATTGTACATTTCTATGTCTTCTAATAATGTTATAGGGCATTGTTTGGGAGCCTAACCATGTTTTCATGTAGCCTATGGGAATTTTATGACTTGTGTAAAGAACATATTGGGCATGTACATGGATACTGGCTTATTAAAGTCAAAGGGTGGTATTCTCGAAAGCGGACTAACTTTAGTCCATGGTTTAATTCTCTGACTAAGTATTGAATGCCAAGTGTCCATATGAATATATTTTTGAATAATTTGATATGCCCCTAAATTACCATGATAACTTTATTATTTTATAGTTATATTGTTGTTTATCAATTATGTTATTAAATTTTATTTTAATTTAGTGACAGATTAATTTTTTCAAAAACATATTCATATGGACACTTGGCATTCCATACTTAGTCGGAGGATTAAACCATGGCCAAAGTTAGTCCGCTTTCGAAAATACCACCTAAATTCTTTTTTGGAACACACGTTATGACTTGGGCCTTATTTTGACAACTGTTGTGCAGGTCGCTGCCACTGATGGAGATGCAGATGCGGTTGCTGATGCGGTAGTCTACGATTTGCTCGGAACCGGAGCCGGCACCCTCTTCACCATCGACCCCCAGACCGGCAACATCACCCTGACTGGCGTGCTGGACCGCGAGGAGATCCCCCGCTACGTCCTGTCTGCCATGGCGACGGATGACAACGGAAACGGACTCTCCAGCTACGTGGATGTCATCATCGAAGTGGAAGACATAAACGACAATTTCCCTTTCTTCCCCGATCAGGAATACGTGGGCAGTGTCGATGAAAACATGCCACCGAGTAAGTCGTTCTATTTTACTGGAATCTCTCTATCAGGCCTGATAACTACCAGATTTACATCGGTTTCTTGATTTTGTTATTTTTTCCAGATTTTCTCCTGATTTTTTTTTCTTCCCGATTTTTTTCTTCTTTTTCCCCGATTAAAAAAAAAAACTATTTTTTTACGGATTTTACCCCTATTTTTTTTCCCCCCGTATCCATTTTTTTTTTTAGGGCTCACTATCTCCCCTGCTCTATCCATGAGCTATTTTATATAGTCTGAAGAGTCAACAAATTTTTATTCCTGCTCATGTCTATCATCAACCCTACAGTTTTTAAATTTGATATGTACTTCTTGAAATGCATCTGTATTATGGCATTGGGGACTCTTATAAAGTTCATAGGGCAGCCATTTTAACCCTCGGATTACTGAATGATCTCACCCCCATAGGTTATTTTACAGGGACAACCTGGTTCCAGTTGGTGATGGGTAAATAATTTGGACGCCTTTCAGTTGAACTTTGCTAGTAATGCAATATTACTTCTTTAACCTAGACACATTATACATTGTAATATCTCAATCAATGTCATTTGATGTCATTACTGTTAATAATAATAATATTCAGCTTTTATATACTGCTTAATATATCTCGGATGTCTCTAAGCACTTTACAGATGTACTATTACCCCGGTCATTGGATTCAGTGCATGCCTGCACACACTGTGTGCACAATCTACACTCCCTGGGGACCATTCCAGTGAGGCGTGACTTGATGCTCAAAAACTGTTTGACCAACAATGGCGGTCGCATCCTACCGGGTACCCATTTTAACACCTGGGTGGAGAGTAGCAAGTGTAGGTTAATATCTCACCAAAGGATATTACTACCATGTCAGGATTCAAACCCTTGACCTTCGTATCTCCGGTCAAGCGCTTCAAACCACTCGACCACGACACTCCCATTGTTGGTATTCATATCTTTCTCATGTCATTGATGCCCTTGTTTTGATTATTTCTTGAACAGACACCCCGGTGCTGGCTGTGGTTGCTGAGGATCCAGACACTGCAGATAACCTGGTATATTCCTTCCCCACCCCAAACAGCGACTTCAACATTGACCCCGACACTGGAGAAATCACAACCGCGATACAGTTGGATAGAGAGACTCCGCCTTCTGAATACGAACTTGAGGTCCAAGTTACTGATGGAACTAACACAGGTCAGTGCGTGTGGCATTGAAAATAAATTCTGTAGAACCTGTATATAAAGACCGACAACCAATGAGGAAATCCTTAAAGCCCACTGCACTACTGATAGCTACTTGCGCCCTCTATATAGCAAACAATGCCTAACCGGTGACCGCTGGTCCCCCATGATCCCCTTTTTCTTATGTTAATTGAGAGCTGATTTGATGAGATAACCACCTGTCAGTGACCACGCTGGGTGGTCTAATCCCTTCTGGCCAAAGTAGTGCAGATTGGCTTTAAAATCAAAATTTGAAGCATTATTAGTAGGTATTTTTGTTATTTATATATTCCTATTGAAGTTTCGTTTATTATTAAGTTATATATTCCTGGATATTAGTTAATGAATATTACTTAAAGATAAGCTTGAGCTCTGGTTATAAAAAGAAAATGAATTCTCACAGAATCAAACAAAATTTACAATGAATGTTCAAGATTACAAATAAATGTCATTTGCCAAACAATTTTGATAGAAAATGTATACTGGCTGAGTAATGAGCATAGAAAAATAAGGAAATCAAGGTAAGTAGCCCCGACACCATTTGTGTAGTCCCACATACATTTTTCTGTGTACAGTGCTTGTTACTTTACCAAGACTGGGCCAAATTTATTATGATTTTGATGACTCCAGAACTTTGCAGTACACACCAATATTTGTATGCTACATGATCCATGATTCTGATCCATTCCACACCTTTTTTTTCACAATTATCTCATGACTGAACTCAACACTATCTTTAAAAATAATGATCCATATTTGTTTGCATGAAAACCGCAGCCACTACACCAGTCATCATCACCATCAACGACGTGGACGATAACAGGCCGGTGTTCACTCAAGACCCCTTCCCCCCTGCCTCCGTCTTGGAAACGGAACCCGTTGGTACGACCATCACCACCGTACAGGTCACCGATCCCGACGTTGACCACATGGACAAGGTCGTGTTCACGATCAATAGTGGAGATGATGCTGACCTGTTCAGGATCGTCCCGGACGCAGCCACGCTCTCAGGACTCATTCAAGTCAATAAGGTATGTTGTACAATCATTCCAATACATGTGGGAACCCAGAGCTACCAACTAGTACAGATTTCCTATAATTGGTACGGAAATTAACAATCATTACGGCAGTACGGAATGTTGTCTAAAATTATGGATTACAAAAAACAAAAAAGTCCTGTGCAGTATGGCGGCCATCCAACACTCGCTGAGAAAGACGAAAAAAATAGAAGCCAATTTTCATGGAAACTGATGTGTTGTGATGACCTGAAAATTAATATTAAACAACTTTGTGTGAGTAAAGTCACCAAAAATTTCAGATAATCATGCGCACAGTGTTGGCATGCCGTTTTTTTAAGATTCATAGTGCCGTATAGGAAATTACTGATTTATTCCCCAAATTACTGATTTTGGACCTTGTGATTACTGTTTTTCTGTTCTGGATGTTGGCAGCTCTGTAACTGGGTTTTACAGGCCATGATGGCGACAACTGCTCCGCTGTCAATTTCCTTCATTTACAGCATTCTTTACTTCCTCTCGAGACGAAATAATATCCCTAACCCCAAACCTCACCTAAAACACAATTGGGTGTATAAAAACAAAAACAAAAACAAGTATTTCATGATATAATATGTATGTATTTAAAGTAATATCTTCTGTATTTGTAACCTATAATTTGTACATGGCCTCTCAGGAAATCAGAGTAATTAAATACTGACAGAGTTACCCTGTTTAGATAAAAACAAATAAACAAATAAAATTACAACCCTTACTAATATCTTGTACATTTGCTGATTTATAGACTATAGAAATTGTCACCGGAGCAAATTTTGGATCATGGTAGCACGCCTGGGAGAAATTAGAGAATTCAGTTGTTGATGGGTGAAAGCACTACAAAACATACCTATGACATTTTCTCAGTTTATCACAGTTCAACCAAAATGAAGAAGAAAAATAAACTAATTATTGTCTACATGATTTTGATTTTTTCAGAGAGTCATCTTTATGTAACACGAAGTTTGAAAAAAGATAAAAGACATATTTTCTGAGCTTTTTAAAGAGTTGTTATCATGTGATATAGTCCCATTGCTGGAACTGATTTTTAATGGCATTTCCAGCACTGTAAGTTAATTAAAGCAGATTGCTTTTAACCCTGTTATGTCTAAGAATTCACAATCGAGGAGGCGCGATAGCTCAGTCGGTAGAGCAGTGGTCTCATAATCCGGTGACCCGGGTTCGAAACAACCAAGGCGATGCGCTAGTGCCCTTTGGTAAGGCATTAATCCTCATTACCAGGTCCCTCAGAGAGGACCTAAAGCCGTCGGCCGTCTGGTTGCTTACTTACAAGCATTTGTGCTTTCTTAGCAGTCAGGGAAAATAACCACCACCACCAACCACCACCATCTATTTCATTCTTGCCATTGTTTTCCATTCTCAAATTCAAGAAAAAAAATGATATATGTTTGTTCTTCATCCTGTCAAACAATAGCCTCTGGACTTTGAGAGTGGGAATGCGAATGACTTCACGCTGACGATCCAGGTAGAAGACTCTCAGGGCACCATCGGTACCCCCCAGACGACGACCATCGAGATCTCCATCGAGAATGCCAATGACCTCGCTCCTGTGTTCGAGGAGGATATGTACGCAGGGGCGGTGTCGGAAGGTGCTGATGTCGGAAGCCAAGTGGGCACTTTCACCCTGACTGCCACCGATGGGGATGAGCCGGGTGGAGTGCTGAAGTAAGAAAGAAGTCAAATTTTTCAGCATACATAATAATAATATGGTTATTTATATAGCGCCGGTATTCGTCAGGCTCTGATGCTCATGGCGCTTTACACAAATTACCCTGGTCGTAGCCGAGCTGCCAAAGTAACTTGCGCTCAAGCATATCAGGTATCCATTTACATCTGGGTGGAGAGTGGCAAATGTAGATTAACGTCTTGCAAAAGGACATTAGCGACGGGACTTGAACCCCGTACCTTGTGATCTGCAGTCGGGTGACATATCCACTAGTCCACAACACTTCTAAATCCTGTCCGCTGGTGGCATTTTCACTGTCTTGTAACTCTTTCATGTTGTTTGCTTTGTGTTGTAATTTCTATTTTGCTTATACATGTACCTGGAAATTAAATAAATTTATTTTTAAAACTTAAAAAAAATCTTGCGTTATGGTGATGAAAAATCTTTGAAATAGAAACTCTTCATAAAATATATATAGTTAATAAATATTCGCTTATACCTTGCTGCTAACTTTCGTGCACGTTGTTCATTTCTAGATCTTACCTCAATTTGAAAAATTAATGAAAATAACGCCTTATTCAGTATGTTGATTGCAAGGTATACCTTGGTTCCATATGGCCTGCACTGTGGTATCAACCATTCCTCTTCGTCCTTTTCTGTTCCAGCTACGTGATTGACCCCTCCACAGATCCAGAAGGCCAGTTTGGTATTGATGCCAACCAGCGGCTCGTGGTCGCATCGCCCCTGGATAGGGAAACCGTCGCCAGCTACGAGCTTAAGGTCTATGCCGTCGATAACGGTAAGTTGCTCACATTTTAAGCCTGTGCAGACGTGACGTGACACATTAAACTGTCTTTTAAAAAAAATGTTTAAAAAATATTTAAAAACATAGCCACAAGTGGTGTTCAGATGCATTCTTCTACTTAGTATTTTACTGCATGTTTAAGGCACCTGGGGGGTGTTTCATAAAGAGTTTGTAAAGTTACGCATGACTTTACGAACGACTTGTATATGAAGTGCCAGATAGGATGCCCAAAGTTTTTTCTGATATTTCCAATAACCTCAATTAAATTATGGCAAAAAATATACTTTGCATTAAAAATGGTTGTTATAATAAGAATGTTAATCTACATCTGCACAGTTCAACTTAATAAATAATAATCAATGAATATTGAGCATCCCATTTGGCTTTTCATATACAAGTCGTTCGTAAAGTCATGCGTAACTTTACGAACAGCTTTATGAAACACCCCCCAGGCTAGCACAACTCAGCCAATCATTTTGAAATATTAGCAATAGATCCCAATAATATTAGGGTAGTTAAACTAGAAAGTAATTAAACTGTGCATGGGAAATACAACAGATTCAATAAGCTTAAATTATAAGGTACATGTACCTGAGCAGTTGCTGATCGGTTGTAGGGCTGAGGCCGAGAAAATGCAAGATTAACATGTATGACGTCATGACAGCTCATTATTCTGGCTTGTTCAAGTAAAAAATCTTAAATGTGTACTGGATACGACGAAGAGCAATTTTACCAAGTCAAAGTTGGATGTTTCATAATATGTCTACTTGATTCAAGTATTGAATTGTACACCAGTCCAGGGGAACAAATTTGGTTTATCCATCCTATGCACTTGAGATCTGACAGCTGATCGATAACAAAATGATTGTAAGTACAGTCAAACCTGTCTATAGTGACCACCCAAGGGAAATACAAAAAGTGTTTCAATGAGAAACCATTTTTAAGGGAACCAACAATTGTGTTCTTTGTAGACAGGTTCCTTTAGTACATGTTTCAATGAGAAACCATTTTTAAGGGAACCAACAGATGTGGTCTTTGTAGACAGGTGGTCACTAAAGTAGGTTTGACTGTAGCAGCAGAAACAATATCAGTAATCATTCTGACCTTTGACCCTTGTCCCAGGTGATCCTCCAATGTCGGGCACTGCGACCATCAACGTTGTGATCGAGGACGTGAACGACACGCCTCCTCGTTTCGCGGAAGACTACACCCCGTCGGTGAAAGAGAACTCTGATGCAGTGGCGGAGGTGGTGAGCGTGAGAGCTGTAGACGACGATGACCCAGCCTCTGGACCGCCTTTCCTATACCGAGTGGCAGGAACACCCAACGAATGGACGGACTACTTCACAATAGAAGGACTAGGTAAGGGATCGATCTCACAAGAGTTAAAGGGATAGCTCACGAGCTGTTTTGGCAATCGATGCTTTGTAAAACTAGAAGCTCTCATGGCATTCCATTTTAATGAAATTTAATCTGGACTCTTTATGAAATTCATGATAATGTCTTGTTTTACAGTAACCACAGTCCTTCCTCACATTAACCCAACAAACATCCAACTGTCTCACATATTCTTCCTTAACCCATGTGTGCAGGGACAGAAACCAGCGGGGACATCACCATAAGCACCAGCGGGAGAGCTATCGACCGCGAAGCTATTCCGTATTTTGACATCGTGTTTCTGATAGAAGAAGTGAACACAGACGAACGGTTGACCGGCACCCAGACCCTGTCTATAATGGTGACGGATGTCAATGACAATCCACACCTCGCCGCTACCAAGAATATCCTGGTCTATAGCTACGAAGGTAAGAGATCGTGTAGGGTTAACGGATGAAAATGTACCTGAGAAATTGAGGTGTTGAATGTTTCATCAAGGGAGGTGACAAGCATTTTGCTTGACAGGTGCTTGCTCAGATCATTGTTGGACAGCGATCCAGGGCACCTTTTTGTAATAATGATTAAAAGAATTAAATTGGTTCTTGCACACTTAGGCCCATAAACCTCACTTAGCCTAGTTGTCAACTAATTATTTACTATATCATGTGTAATTAGTTAATAACTAGCTAAGTAAGGTTTTATGGAATCCCTGTTATTTGATTCGGTGAAAAAATTAAACAGGCAAGTGTATATTACAATAAAGAGACCTCTGGTTGTCATTTGATACCAATTTATGTGGATCATTTGTCAAACTGTCTAGATCTGTTGAACAAAAAACATTTAAAAAAAATTAACAGCCTGTTTGCATTGATGTGTGCATGAAAAAGCAGAAAAAATTATACGCAATCCCTTATTTTAGGAAGCTTTTCAATAATTTTGTCCTTCTTTTTTTCCCATTCTTATTCTCAAAAAGATTTGTTGTTTTTTGCAAAAAATAGAAAAGAAAAAAAATAGATGATATTATGTAATTTATTGTAAATAGAGAATTAGGAAGAGAAAAATGATGATATTGTTTAAGTTTCTAATATAGCTCATTTATTTGATTTTAGTTCTCAGAATGAGTAATAATAATGCCTTCCTAGAATATTTTGTTCTTACCTTCAGGAGATTTGCTGAATCTTTTTATACCAGTAACACTATCAATAGTTCCATGCCGATGCAATGCAATTCATTTCATTTCATGAAGCTTTGCATCAACAGTTTTTCATCCAAGCACTCACAGAAGGAAAAAGCTCCTTTAGCCCAGATTAATCCCTCAAAACCACACCACTTAAATGTACATCAACAAATTTATAAATGCGACAGTGCAATGCTGTATTACCAGTCTTGTGAGTCGGTACTTGTCATTTTTTCCATCATGAAGTACTTTGTTATTTACTGCTGAAAATCTTTGTATGTCGTACCATTCACCATTTTTACAATCCCACTGATAGAGGTCAATATTGCTGATAATGACATTTTTCTGTTGTAAATTTCTGTCTTTACTCCTTTAAATCTTGGTACATGTACATCATGCCATTGGTGATTTTTACATTTTTTTGTGGTCACCGTCCCACTAATAGGAGTAAATTATTGATAATAACACAATATGTTTTCCATTGTGATCCCTTGTAATGAAAAAACACCATTATAGGTAAAACTTTTAATGTTTCACTTGTAAATTGCTTTATTTATTGTTAAAAGTCTTGGTACATGTGCATCATACCATTGGTGATTTCTAAATGTTCTGTAGTCCCACTAAATGGGATTGGGAGTATTACATATTGATAATAACACATTTTGTTTTCCATTGTGATCCCTTGCTATTTAAATACACCATTGTAGGTGAAATCCCTGAGGTATCTCTTGGTATGTATTACCTCCACTCCCTAACAGTCAACTAATGCATCATTGTGTGAACACTAACCCAGCCTCAACATGTACCCATCCTTGCCTTAACCTTGCCTTAACCTTGCCTTAACCCTGCCTTTACCCAGCCTCAAACTAACCTTGACACAACCTTATTCCAACCATAATTGGGTTAAGGTTGGGTAACCTTAAAGACCATATCCGAACTGAAAAACAAAATGGGGGAATTATATATCAACGGAAAGCTTATAAGCCATAAATTACAAGAATATGCCATTTTAGTGTCTGTTAGAGGAGTATCAGCTCCCTGAAAACTCAAAATCTAAAGCTTTGAAAATCGGAAGTTGTCGATGTAAAAAATCAGTAGAGCGTCTTAAAAGACGGTAGTTGCTGCTACCTTGTTTGACGTTCAACAATAAGGGATAGAGCAATGTCGATCTGGTGCCTCTCAGTGGCTGCCGGGCTCACGATCAATTGGGCAAAAAGAATTTCCATTTTCGGTTTAACTTAATATGATTTGGAGTGGATTTCAAAAGATTATTATTATTATTATTTGGAGGGGTACGGAAAATGAGATTTAATTTGCTTTTGTGCAATAATGAAAAGGTAAATACTTGTTATTCCTTCATATTTGTATTCTTTATTCATTCAGTTTTCCATTTATATCAAGTTGTAATTTCATCGGATAGGGTCTTTAACCCATCCTTGACCCAACCTTGACCTAATAAGGACAGAATTTTATTGTATTCCATTCAGAGTTCTCAAGAAATAGATGAGACATAGGAGTTTAAAAGAACAATATTTCTACTCAACATGTGCCTATGCTGTTATGTATCGCTACAGTGTGTCATGTATTCCGATACAAATTGTATTATCTTTTGATGAACATGACTTTGACTTTGAATTGGCATGATAGGAAATGTTAGTGCTTTCAATTTGAAGAAGGAAACCTAATTTCACCACTCTGTCAACGACAACAACAACAAAATCACTGTCCTTTAGTGGTGCTATCTCCTCCCATGATCCTTTGCTTATATTTTTTATTTTTGCATGAGACATGTGAACACACGATCCTTAAAGATGAAGTTGAGTTCTGGTCATGCGATTGCATTGTGAAAGAAACGGTGTGGAATAGATCAAAAAAAGTTGATCATGTAGCACATAAGTATTGGTGAGTACTGCAAGGTTCTGGAGTCATCAAAATGATCAGAAATTTGGCCCAGTCTTGGTAAAGAACAAGCACTATACACGGAAAGGTGTATATAGGACTACACCAAGATGTGGCATACAAATCGGGCCTCATTTTTAAGCTGTTACTTGTCATATTTAGAATATGAAGGCATTTGAAGAGCCATGCTTTTCAGGGAACATTTTTTCTCTAATGTCAACCAGAACTCAACCTTCTCTTTAAGTAACCCCGTCCATCTTCCCATGTCTTACAGCTTTGATGCATGTTTGTATTAACCAGCATATTTCCGGCAGTTGAGACCCTTGTGAAACATGTGGAACCTCTTTTTTCCCTCATTTTTGATATTCAGAGAGAGATATGCACTATCAAATTGTGATGCTTTTTTCAGATTCATCGTCATTTGATTTCAGTTTCACCCTTATGTAAATTTGACCTCCTCACAGCAAGATTAATCTTGACATGAAGAGGTCACTCACAGTTCATAGCATGTATCCGCCACTGAATCACGTGTACTATCTATTTCATGTCTAGATAGACTATATTATTACTTTAGTGTGATTCTGTTTTAACTGAATCACCGAAATGCTTATTTGAATCCAGAAAAGTAATGAAGAAGACAATGTTATCAGCTCCAAGCTGAAATTGAGTCAAAGTCTGCTTTGTTAAAAACAACTGTGACTGATTTCTCGTTAACATAATATGTTTCAACAACTTTTTAGTAACATAGCCAGCACTTGATGTCTGTATCCACTATCCATTCATGTTTTTGTGTTTGTTTGGGACTTTGGGTTTGTTTATTATGTGTAGATTTGTGTGTAGTGTTCAGATGGTAACTGTTTGTGTGTGTTTGTCTATTTTGTGATTAAGACTTGTACATTGTGTACAAAAGCAAGTCCAAGGTATGTTATCCCATGCGTTCCAAATTGCGTCAAAGATTTAAGCGTACCTTGTGATCAAAACAAGTGGCGAGCCCTGCTATGACTGGTATCATATATATTTATTTATGTCAGGGAAAATGATACTTTATATGTTAATTATTTGTAATATTCCATTACAATTGGTGATGTATGGATGCTAGGGCGTCATTTCACCAAAGTTCTCAAACATCCCATTTCACTTAAAACACACGTTTCAGTGGGATATCTGTGGACCTGTACCGTATTTGTAACGGTTTCGTGAATCAATGCGCATGTGTACAAATACATTGGACTTGCCCAAATGTGAATGTACAAGATTGAAGAATATCAAACAATCGTAACCAGGGGAATGTTTCACAAAGACAAAGATTGACTTTAAGTTGGACTTAACTATGGCAGGCCATTCACGCCACTGGTTGCTCCTACCATTGGTCTCTCAATTATGATCTTTAGATAATATGTTTTCCTTCATTAATGAACTATCAAAAAATGTTAATTCTGTAGATTTGTGACCGTGATTTGTACGTTCCTTGAGAAACCAATGCCAGGAATGTTTAGAAGAAATAGTGGCATGAACGTCCATATGTAAGTCCAACTTAAAGTGGATCGTAGTCTTTGTGAAACTCTCCCCTGTATCCTTACTTGTTAGTATGTATCCTTCTTGTACAATACAGATAGTATACGTACAACTAGTAAACCTTCTTATTCTGCATATTCGTCATGTGACTGCATGTTTCTTTGTAACATAGTTTTGATTTCTTTATCATATCTCATATGACATCTAGAATGAATATATCAGTCTTTGAATTGACCCCGAGATGGTGATTTTGTTGAGAAAAATACCTTAGATTTTTTTTTATTTATTTACAGATATGTGGTTAATGCCGAGAGATAAGGACTGAGAATTTAAAAAATAATTTAAAAGCAACAAGGAACGTCAATCTGGCAATGAGATGGTATTCCAAATAAACTGATTTTTTAATAGACCAACACAATATACCGGTATGCAAAATCAGAAAACTTGCTGGAGACTGCTTATCACCTACACAGATATGCATGTATGGGACAAGGTGTGGTGATGTGTCATGTGACAGCCAATCAGATGTGAGCTTTAATCAGTCAGTAATCCTGAATACTTCTTACTCGTGAAGAGTTTTATTTTTCTGATTACTCGGCAGTTGCAAATCTTATGTCCAGTTGCCTGCAAAAAAATAACACTCTAAAATTTGTTTTGCATTGAACTCTATGCAAATTTATGGGGGCTCTTTTCTGATTTTCGGGGGCTCTTTTGGGCATTTCGGGAGCAAATTCACCCTGAGCCCCCTTGTATTTTTTTCACTGTTCCAGCTGCTGAGGCAGATATTTATTTGTGGCTTTTAACTTTAAATCAATATATTTTGGTTAATTCTCTGAGGGTTTTTGTTCATCATTACCAGAATTCATCACTAACTGTAACTTTAACGTGTGTTATGTCAGCTTCTGCAATAACCTTTCTTCTTAACCGATATTCATGTGTTTACTGTTCAAGTATTCAATGGCTTGCATCCTGTCTTCCATTCTTAACAGGCAACATCCCAACGACCGGGGTAGGAAAGGTCGCAGTAGAGGATCCTGATATCCTAGAAGACAAGACCTACACTGCAGAAGGAGAGTTTCCAGACGGTTTCCAAGTAAGTCAACTTCTCTACAGCTTCCTCCTTGCTATGTATGCAGAAGAACGGTCTGAAATCTTCCGTGGCTCGAAAGAGTTGACACCTTTGTGATTCTCAGTGGATTAACTGTTGACACTATGAACATGACAGACAAAGAAGAGGACAAAATATACAGTTCCTCATTCTACCCTCAACAATTGCTGATGTAGACAAATGAATATCCCTTCATTGCTATTATGTAAAAATGTGTAGAACAGGTGAATATGCATGTGACACCTGTTCTACACATTTTTACATAATAGCAGTGAAGGGATGTTCCTTTGTCTACCACAGCAATTGTTGAGGGTAGAATGAGGAACTGTATATTTTGTCCTCATCTTTGTCCGTCATGTTCATAGTGTGAGCGATATCTAAAACTTATTGTGTATACTGATTGCACACTTTAATAGGCCATGCCTATGAATGTATTTCTTAAAAGTTTATAAAGTCTTATCCCTTTTATGAATGATTCAGAAAGGCTGTAAAATGACTCTGGAAAGCTTAAAAGAAGAGCTTGTAATTTGAATAAAATATGATATGATAACCACAAGAAAATTGTTAGAAGAAAATCTTACTCTATTGAATCCAAGAGCTTCTCTGAATGAAACAGATATCTTTACATTGACGATTGTATAAGATGAGAAATTATCTAAATTAAAGAAATTTGTAGATTTGAGAGAATATAACTTGCATATTCAGTGGGGTTAATCCCGAGTCATATCAGGCTAAGGAGTCAACAGATTGATACAGAATATGTGATGAAAACCCTCTCCCTCCCCCCAAACAGGAGAAACAACATTTAAAGCTTATCTGTACTAGTTTATAGGAGGGATTATACCTGCCTGCAAGGACACTGGACTGGTGGTTATCTAATCAACTCAGCTCTCAATTAACATAAGAAAAAGAGGATCATGGGGACCAATGGTCACCGATTAAGCAATGTTTTCTATATAGAGGGAGCAAGTAGCTACAAGTAGTACAGTGTGGCTTTAAAACAACATATAATGAGAATTTGTTCATGCTTTGCAGCTGGATACAGACACCGGTGATATCGTCATGCTCGAAGGCACCCCAGCCGGCATCTACACCATGCAAGTCATGGTTTCCGATGGCGGCATGTTCCCGGACGTCGTCTCAACGGTCATAGTGACGGTCAAGGATATCCCGCAGGAAGCCGTCTTCAGCTCGGGGTCCATCCGATTCTCCGGCACGACAGCGGAGGAGTTGATCGATCCCAACGCCGAGGGGGTCAGCAAGCTGGACAGCCTCAAGGTCATCCTGGCCGAGGCTGCGGGAGCCCAGCTGGAGAACTTTGATATCTTCAGCGTGCTGAACGTGGAGGGTATGGAGAGGACGGTGGATATCCGGTATGCTGCTCACGGATCACCCTACTACCCCGCGGACAAGCTGGATCTGGCTGCGCTCTCTGTATCGGATCAGGTAGGACTCGTTTCATATTACTATCAGGTTGTGAGGTGTGATGTAGTGAATAGACCAGTTTACTGACGTATTCAAAAGTATAGATGTTTCTTTCTTGGGGAAGAGTTATTTTATGAACCTGTTAATTAATAAATGAACTAAAATACTTAAAATCCAGTCTGTATACTTTACTTGTTGCTATGTTGGGCAAGCGTTCAGGGTGTCAATATAACAATACTGCTAAAACAAAATACAATTTCATGCTTACAGATTTCTACAGATTAATTCATTTATAAAAGAAAACAATATAATGTACTATGATACAGTATTAATAACTTAAATTCAAAATGAGTGTTCATTGAGTGTTCATAGCTCATAATACTGGGTATTTTATAGAACACCAAATGACCAAATACCTTGGACTTGTCCTAGTATAGATATACAGCTTCTATTACTAGAATATATCCCCATAATCATGTTACTGAATTGTTGAATGTTAAGTCTCAAACTCATGATCGTAGCCTTCATAGTACACAAGACACATTTATGTTCCAAATACCCCCATATGAAACCAAAGTAACCCTCGGAGACCGGTGATTTCTTTGTGCTGCCCCTAAATTATGGAACAGATTACCACTAGAAATAAGGAAAGCCCCATCACTAGAAAATTGTTAATCAAGACTGAAAACTTACTTCTTCATGTAATATATGTAGCACGGCATTTATGAGCTCTTGCAGCGCAGTAGAATATATCCACATAGTTATTGCGCTTTACAAATGAATATATTATTATTATTATAAGTTTCACCTACGTATATGCTTCCTACAGATCGCTGCTCTAGGATTGGACATCGCCCAGCTCCCTGTCGACCTGTGTGTGAAGGAGAATGTCTGTGAGTCCTCCTGCACCAATGTCCTGGTGGTGGATCCCACACCCACCGTGGTGGACTCTGGCTCCGCCTCCTTCGTGGCAATCACGTCTGTACTGCAGGCTCAGTGTATATGCGGCGCCAGGACGGAAGCTCCGGGTTCTTGCGATTCCATTCCCTGCCTCAATGGAGGCACTTGTGTTGATGTCCATGGTGGAACTTACAAGTGAGTTTGAATTGGGGAATTCCCCATCTTCCTCCCTCGTTAACCACTGATTGGCATCATGTGGTATGTAAAAAGAATGCTGATGTTTTAAAGCTTATCGTTATGACGGAAATTACACAAATCAAATTTGTTTCTCCATAATGTTAATAGAGAGTCACTGAAAGTATATGTACTTTGCAGATTTATTTTTTGCTAAGAGCTTACGAGACCATTGGATCGGTCGTAAGGATTAGCTTGAAGTAAGACGGCAAATTAGATCACCCTACTGTTTTGTGATGTCCTTCATACGACTATGGACAGGACATTCAGTTGTCTAAATCTTACATACATGTTTAAATAGAAAGTTTTGGAGAGAAATGGCGAATAATGTAATTGCTGTGAACAATCTAAAAACATGTCCACTAAAACCTGTGATGCCTTTGTTCCCTGTGTCTAGATGCGAGTGTCCTTACCTGTTTGACGGACCAAACTGCCAGCAGACCAAGCGTAGCTTCAACGATGGCTACGCCACCTTCTCTACCCTGAGGCAGTGCGAGGAGACCAGCCTTTCCATCGAGTTCATCACAGAGACTCCCAGCGGTACCCTCTTCTACAACGGTCCCATCCAACCCACCGAGGTTGACGATGCCATCGATATGATCCTTCTGGAGCTGACGAATGGCAAGGCCAAGCTCACCATCAACCTGGGATCGGTTGATGGAACCACCCTTAACCTGGAGCTGGAGGTGCCTAAGGATAACCTGGGAGATGGCCAATGGCATCGTATTGATGTATACCGCAATGGAAGGGTAAGGACTGCTCCCATCCTATCACTTGTAGGGTAAGGTGATCAGATGTCGTTTGGCAAGATATTAATCTACATTTGCCACTCTCCACCCAGGTGGTAAATGGGCACCAGTAGGAAGCAATTCCTTGAATGCTGTGAGTGTCGAAATTGGCTGCCTAGCTGAGCCAGGATAATAGTTGGAGCGCCTTGAGCACCATGCATGGTGGATATGTGCAATATATAAATATCCAATATTATTATTGTTATTATTATCATCCCATAGGAAGTGAGAGGGCTAAAGTTATCGCTAAAGGTTCGTTCAGATATGATGCATTGATGTAAATGAATGGCCACTGCGCACAACAAGGTCATGCGCGTATTCACTTAGCTCTGTGTTGAACGATACAGAAACGTGACATATCTGAACGAGGCCCGATGACAATATCCCCTACATTGATGTATCTGTAAAACATGTGAGGAAATATGAGTTGTTGGAGCAGTAAGCCCTTGTTCATCTTGTTCTTAAGAGATGCTTGAGACTTGAAGGCCATGACATCAATTTGGAAGCTTAGTTGTGATATATTTCATGACTTAAAGAGCCTTCAAATGAGTCACAATTATGCCCTTGTGAATAGTGAATTACAATACACTTATTCTAAATTTTCAGAACATGAATTATGAAACAATCCAGCACTCTAACACTCTTTGTGCCTTGTGATTTTTTTTTATTGGTCCACGTCTAGTCTGTTGAGATGACAGTAGACCGATGTGAGGATGCACCCTTCGCAGAAACCTCATCCTCATCCACGCTAGATACCTCCAACTGTCGTATCAGTGGAGAAACACCAGGCGAGAACAAGTAAGTTTTTCCATTCGATTTAAACAAATCTTTGATACACTTTTTCTATAGTTAGCCATTATATCTACTATAAAAAAAAAATCATCATCTGTTGAAAGCCAGAAGGGTGTTAAATCTGTATTAAAGTATAGGACTTAATGCCCTGCTTGCTCTCTACAGACAAAATGTTGTGTTTCAGACATTATGGGGCCCCTTGCATAAATTTGTACGTTATATGCAATTCAAAATTAAACAGAACTTAATTTTCACCAGTAAGGATTGCGTATTGAGGGCTTGTTTGAATGCAACTTTTTATGTATGTGGTGTGTCTTCGCCTGCCGGAGACTGCGAGCATCCTCAGAATGAATTTGGACTGAAAGTTTCAGGAGTCAAACTGTGAAGGTAACATGTTTTCAGTCCCTTTTCAGACTAATTGAGGAAAACCAACTGATATCCTCGAAAAGAGCATTTTTGTAATTAAGTTAATTGTATTAATCAGATCAATCTTTTCACGGATTTAGAAAGCAAAATCACGTTAACACCTTCCAGTCAGGACCCATTGTTAACCTTGGTCAAACTTCCAGTATAAATCGCTTGATTCTCTCAGATTCCTGACACACTTGTTTTCCAATGAAATGTAAACCGCTTGATTTTCTTTGCTTCATGAATGTAAACACACCTCTTTTTAACGATATATTAAATGCTTGATTGATTTTCTCAGATTCCTGAATGTAAACACACCTCTATTCCTGGGAGGCATGAGTCCTGATTACAACCCGGACGTGGTCGTTCCAGGAGGATTCGATGGCTGCATCAAGAACCTCGTCTCTGATGGTTTCCTCTACGACCTCGCCGATCCTGGAATATTTGACAAGAGTGACTCGGGATGCTTGCGTACCGATGGGCAGTGCACAGTAGACGGCGAACCTGTCTGTGAAAATGGAATCTGTGAGGCCGATCTTGGCAGTTTCGTCTGCATCTGCTTCCCTGGATTCAATGGAGAATTCTGCAGTATAGGTGAGTTGTTAGTTATTGGCGTGAGAGTTGCATTTGATCCACATTGATCGCATGTACTTCGGTTGATCACACACTATCTCTCTCTAATACAGGTTGTAATCGAACCGTTGCTCCTGCATGACTTTGCTTTGGATACCTACTTGACCAACCAGCTTTTAAAATACATCACTTTCTTTACTGTTGGAACACCTTTTCCACTTGTTTTATCGTCATCCAAAGGAACCCCTGTACGACTTAGCAACGGATAGCTACATAACGTACCAGCTTTAAGACAGCTCCTTGTATGACGATGCCCGATCCTCTGTTAGATTATGGTTGGTTATCAAACCAATGGGATTTTTTTTAATTTATTCATTTTCTTTACTGTTGGAACACTTTGTCCACTTTTTTAACATCCAGAGCTGCCCCCGGTACGGCTTAGCAACAGATAGCTACGTAACGTATGAGCTTTTAGACAGCTCCTTGTACAACGATGCCCGATCCTGTGCTAGATAATGGTCGGTTATCAAACACATTGGATTTTTTTAAAATTTATTTATTTTCTTTACTTTAGGAACACATTTCCATTTTTTTATCATCATCCAAAGGAGCCCCTGTATGACTTTGCAACGGATAGCTACATAACGTACCAGCTTTTAGACAGCTCCTTGTACAACGATGCCTGATCCCCCGCCAGATAATGGTCGGGTTATCAAACACATGGGATTTTAAAAAATGTATTTACAGTCAAACCTGCTTTAGTGACCACCTGTCTACAATAAGCACATTTTTTGTTTCCCTTGAAAATGGTTTCTCATTGAAACATGTACTAAAGGAACCTGTCTACAAAGACCCCCTGTCTACAACAAGCACATTTTTTGTTTCCCTTGGGCGGTCACTGTAGACAGGTTTGACTGTATTTTCTCTACTGTTGGAACACTTTGATCACTTTTTTTAAAATCTCCATCCAGTGCTGCCTCCGTATGACTTTGCAACGGATAGCTACATAACCTACGAGCTCCTAGACGAGTCCTTGTACAACGATGCCCGATCCTCTAACTACCATATCATGGTGAGGTCAAGACAAGAGAATGGACTCATCTGGTCAATCTCCAGTGCTAACACCTATGAATACATTAGAATGGAGGTGAGCTTCTTTCCAGTTATGATAACAAATCTAGCGATAAAGATGGTATACGTTGTGATATTGTGTAGAGTACTTATTGGATAACTCTTTAGCCCTTGTCTGTAGATTGAAAAAAATAATTCCACTCTTGCTATCCACATCCTGTGCACTGAGGACAATTGCTTTGGGCTTTATTTCATCAAAGATTAAAGGTCAGGTTTGGGTTGCAGTTGGATAGTCAATAAAGTTTAGGTTTTGGGTTAAGGTTAGATGTACCTGGTAGTAGTCCAGTGTTACAGTTGGAAATTCAGTCAGTGTGATATATTGACTGCAAGGGGGTGTTTCACGAAGATCTTAAGTTGAACTTATCATTAAAGAAGATCACAAATATCTCAACTAATGTATCACTAGAAACTGGTAAGCTAACAGATGGCCATCGGACAAGTTTTAGGTCAACTACATATCGGGTGATTTATGAAAATACAAATACAACCACCTCCATAGCAGCTGGGATATACTAGAGATTCGCCAGAAAAATAATGATGTTTTAATGACGTCACTATATGGACCAACACTGCCCAAGCAGACGACATCCCATAGAGAATAAACGTAATTCCAAAGCTTTTATTTCTCAAATTATAATGAGTTTAGTGTATATAAATGTAATGGCATGTCAAACCATTCAAAAGGGGATATGACCCGATTCTGATAACTAATATCTTTTGCTTGTAAATAGACAGGATAGGGGTTAATTAACAATCAAAGAAACCAGACTTTCAAATTGAAAAGTCCTGGAATGATATTAAGGATGGCATTTGTTCCCTCTTGAAACGCCGATCATACACCGGTGTGTGCAGCTGAATATACAATGGCGTCTTATTTTGTTTACAAGCGACAGATTCCTTTATTTTTGTATCGCTGCATTTGTCATCAAAATAAAACCATGCGCTGGGTTTAGAGTGAGGCAATAGATTATACATTTAGCCTGACGGTAGTGAAGTAAGAGAAAGAACTCAAAAGAAGATGAAAACACAGGCACTGAAAATGTGTGAGATGTCATGGGACATCGTCTGCTTGTGCAAGTCATGTCCATACTGTGATCTCACACATCTCAGCAGCGTTTGGAGAGCTCTTCAGGTGCTATGCCGGGGCTGTATTTAAGCGTTTTGTAATTTATAATAATCATTACTTCGAATGTTTCCAAGCATTGAATTTTTATAACCTTGTTGAATCAAAGTTTCAACTTTGCAATAATGAAAATAAAGTTAGTTTTTAAAATCAATGAATATCTATTTTAAGTCAGACTTCAAAATTATTGAGAGCCTTTTGTAGCCTAAAAATAAAATATATTCAAAAGCGAATAAAAAAGTATTTTAGATTTTTTATAAATTCCACATCAAGAACATGAAATCTCCTTAATAATAGGAAATATGAATGATTTGAATCAACATTTTATGCCTTTTAAAATTTGTACAAAATATTCTCAAAGATGGAAACGGCTTTCCATAAATGCTAAGTCCAACTCAGAGATAAGTTCAACTTAGGATCTTTGTGAAACACCCCCAGGACTATTGCTTCCTCTTAGATGTGTCATGGAACTTCTCCATTACCTTGGGAGTGTTCCAGTCAGTCAAGGTTTGATAGGCACAGACATGTCAATTCAAACCATGATGATGGAGCGAGAAACATTGTAGACAAAATATCTTGCTATTTACTATAAAGCAGAGTACCATTGTATATGAAAGTCTTTGGTAATAGGAGACCCCAAAGTAGCTGAATATTTGTGTGTGAAATGTTGTTCACAAAGGCTACCAGCTTTCTTTTACGCAACAATGAAAAGAAAAAGAATCTCATCATCCATCTTTCCCCCTTATGTCATCTCTTAGATGGTTGCTGGAGAACTCCAAGCCGACTGGCATCTTGGAGATAAACCTGTGTCTGTCACCATGGGCAACTTCAGCATCAACGACGGGGCGTGGCACGCCATCAACTTTGATCGTTATGACTCCGTGGTGACCATCAAGATCGATGGGGGAGGCGGAGTCAAGGAGATCCAGAACAGGGAAAGTGCATTCTCTGGATTGGACATTGACAGCAACTCCCTGGTCATCGGAGCATTTGTGGACCTCAACACTGTGACGGACGACTTCATGGGTAGGGCCAAGTTCTAGTGTTATTCTTGCATTATTCTGCACTAAAAGAACTTCACTTGAAAAGGAGTATTAATTCAATTGTCATGTAAACTACCGTCTTGTCCCGTTCTAGTCTCTGTTGGCATCCCTCCTTTTTTGTAGTTCCTTTTGTAGTTACGGACTTGTTAATCGAATTACTCATTATTCATAAGTGTCATTTGAGGTGTTCACCCCTCTGTTTCCAATATGTATTTCTACATTTGTTGTAAATGTTTATAATTGATTCGTAATGTTTTGTTGGAAACACAAATAAATTCAAATTCAAATTCAATATCAGAACATATTACTACAAGCAAGCACGTGCTAAGACAGTCATATTGATTAATTGTCACAGCTTGTCTTGCATAGAAGTTGAGTTTCAAAGTCTTAGGGTTAATCATGTTGCACTCATGGAATCAATTTTTTAATAATTTCTTCTTTTTCTTACCTCAATGAAATATTCTTTATTATTGTCATACTTTCAGCAGCACCCCAAAAGTGAAATCAAGATGATTGGTGGTAAATTGGAGAAACAATCGGTGTCTTGACCTTGTGACCATATCCTAAATGTGTAACACTTTCTCCTTGGCAGGCTGTATGAATGACCCTAGGATAGACAACAACTTCCTCGGTATGGAGGGCAGCAATGAGTATGCCACAGCCACCCAGTCTGCTGGAGTGTCAGAAGGTTGTCCCTCGGAGGTCTGTGACAGCAACCCTTGCCCTGGACAAGACCTAGTCTGCACAGACTACTGGAGATTCTATGAATGCGAGTAAGTTTGTCTTTTCACCAATCCCACCACTGCCACCATTAGAATGATTTTTTTTTATGTCTCCGCTGCAAAGTAGCCGGAGGCATTATTTCAGCCAGTTTCTTTGGAAGATAGTTCCATAACCAGAACTCAAGCTTACCCTTAGAGATGCTGTTGACCATTCAAAAATATTACAATATGATTTTTCTTTCTTTTTAATCCAAAAATTGTCATAACAAATTTTGCGGCATGGAATATTTGCGTATTGAGAAATTTCATTTTTTATATGCACGTTGACTTTTCAGTTATGACAGTGATCTCTAGTTCTGGTAGCCAAAAGGAAATTTGCAATGGAAGTTGTTGGAAATGACCTCTCAAAGATGTACATGTGCCAGATATTTGAATTTTCCATCCATGATTTTCGATTAATTTTTGTGTAATTATAAGAAAGAGTATCCAAATCGGTCATCTTCAGTAGGTCAAATCCTACTGCTTGTCTCTGTGTTGTATAGAAGGACACTGCTGATGATAATGTAAGAGGTTCATAGAAATCCATACTTAAACATTTGCCTATTTCTTTTAAGCATTCTAATTACATGAGGAAGTTAACATCTAAAACAGGGATGCAAGTTATTTGTTCATCTCCCGTTTGTTTGTTGTTCTAAGTACTCCATTAAAGTAGCAAACTTCACTGCAGCATACAATGATTTATTTGTAAAGTTTGAACTAAAATAAAAGAAATATGACAAAGTGTTTTGGGGTACTGAACCAAAGTATGAATGGATCCTTTAACCCTCAATCTGGTCTATACTTGCTCCGACAGGTGCCCTGTTGGTGAGGAGCTCTCGGGACCAGAGACCTGCTTGGCCATCATCGACTGTGACCCCAACCCCTGCTACAATGGAGGAACATGCACAGAGGGGGTTCCCACCGGCTTCAACTGCACCTGCGCTCCCACGTACTATGGAACACAATGTGAAGCCACGATTGGTGGACAAGGAGCATCACTGGGCATCACTCCCCTGGGCATCATCCTCATGATCATCTGCATTCTGCTGATCATTAGTAAGTCACTAGAATATAGGTCTTGGGACTGTCTTACAATGAGGTGCAATTGTATACAAATAACAAATGAAAAACATTCATTATTTGTTTTATACAACATTGAAGTAGATCTAATAGAACATAAAATCTTTCAACAAATTCTGCTTATATTAAAGATAAATTAAAGTTGGAGTCAAGCCTTGTCAATTACATTCAGATTGCCTTCACGTCGGATGCACGCAGCATAAAACAATGGGATACGCACAGGGCAGAGAGGGTACGCAGTCTGCATATAACCAAAAACGCACGCTCGTGGAATAGTACCAAAAATGCATGCCCGTGCAATAGTATATCTATTGTATATCATGTGACCAGTAATCCTCCAATCAAATTACAAGGATCTCCTTAGGTGTTGTATAAATCCAATTTGATCATCAGTAAGTCACTAGAATATAGGCCTTGGGACTGTCTTACAAATAGGTGCAATCGATCCATATTGAGTATATGTTCTTTAATTGAATGTAAGTTTGCAGTCTTCTAAAGTACACAGTTGTGGTTGATACCAAGTTATGATTGATTAGAATCAATCATAGTTCTTACAAGACAGTACCCTGTCCCACCTCACCATTTCCCTCATCAAAAAACCTTTAGCTGTGAGATCTTTTCTTTGAGTACATTGTATTGTCTGTTTGGATTGTACCTAAAAACCTTTATTTCTATGAAATGGTAATCTTGTTTTCATCTCAGTTCTCCTCCTTGATACCAAGATTCAATCCATTAGAATCAATCATAGTTCTTACAACACAGTGCCCTGGTCCCACCTCACCATTTCCGTCATCAAAAAAACTTAATCTGACAGATCTTTCCTTTGAGTACATTGTATTATCTGTTTCGATTGTACCAACATTTTTTATTTCTATTAATTTGTAATCTTGTTCTCATCTCAGTTCTCCTCCTTGGCTTGGTGCTCTACACCCGACAGCGGGATCGCAAGTCCGCCCTCACCTTCGCCATCGATCCCGAAGACGACATCAGGGAGAACTTCATCAATTACGACGAGGAAGGCGGAGGAGAGGAAGATAACGACGCCTACGATCTCAGCACGTTGCGTAAACCCGTGGATGCTATCAGCGCTGGTAGTATAGAGAAGAAGCCGGCCATGCCTGTATCAGAGGTACCCGTTGGTAACAGACCATCCGGTAAGTACTACACTAATTGAGAATAATACCTTGGTCAGCAGTGTGTGTATTCAATTCAATACTTGAATTTTCATTTCATTTTTTTTCCTTCATTTTGTTAATTTCCATTTCCAACAAAATAAATAAAGTACATGGAATTGCATTGTACATAGTAAAAAAATGAAACTTCACAATATATTTGTAATTGGTCCACAGTGTACAACAGGCATATAAAACAGGTTGGTCAGTAAACTGAGTAGATAAACAACCGACATAACTGCATAACATGAATCTCCAGTGGTCAAGAATCAGTAGATTTAAAGTCTTTCTGGTAAAGGGACAAGATTCAAGATTTTTTTTATCCTTCGTTTTTAACGCCCCAACTTTCATTTTCAACATGGAAAAAATGAATTAAAAGGTTTTCAAAATAATGCCTCTCTCCAGACAAATGCAATGTATTGGTATATATTTTTGAATTAATATTCCAGGGCCCTGTCTTATAAAGATTTGATATCAATCGCAACTTATTTGCGATTGATATCAACTCTGTACATTAGAGATAGGAGACTGCAAACTTTGTAAGATGAACCCAGGACTCGGTAATAAGTTTGAATTAAGAATTATTATGAATCTTTCTCCACTTTCAAGTACTGTAGTCATCTTAGTTGAAATAGGTTAACTCTTTCAACCTCTAATACGAATTTGGGTTAAATAGAGATGACGAATCATGGTAGATTCCTGAATAATTCATTCACGAGAACTTCATGAGATGTCCTCTTTCAAATTCTCAATGTCTCCTAAATTCTAGTATATTTTTAAAGCGCTTAGATACATTTGTATTAAGCGCTATATAAAAGCTAAATATTATTATTATTATTATTATTAAATTGCTTTGTCCTTTTTCTATCAGGCGTTGATCCCAACGTAGGTGACTTCATCAATGACCGCCTGAAAGGGGCCAACGACGACCCCGAAGGGCCGCCGTACGACGAGCCCCACGTCTACGACTTCGAGGGCGACGGGTCGTCGGCCGGCTCCCTCAGCTCCCTCAACAGCAGCAGCACCGAGTCGGAGCAGAACTACGACTACCTCAACGACTGGGGACCACAGTTCAGGAAGCTTGCCGACATGTACGGCAGCTAGAAGGGGAGGAGGGTGGACTGTGTGTGTGTGTTTGCGTTTCGCAGCATTTGCTCTAGTACTTGACGTTTTAAACTCTATTCGTAAGAATTGGTTTAAAAGTGTGATTGATTACAGTTGTCATGTGATAAACCCTTTAGCACCTTCCGACTATTGTCCTTTTCTCACTTGGAGAGTTAACTGGATATTGTTTTGCAAGGTTCTTTAATTTAGAGAAAGTAAATTCCCACCAACAAAATTCTTTTTGGTGAAGCATAAACATCAGACTCCCCAAAGGTAAAGCCAATGTGTATTTCATCATAATAATTTGCCGTTGTAACAGATAAACGTTTACAGGGAGTATGTGGAGAGTGATATTCAGGTGCTAAAGGGTTAATCACTCTTAAAACATGATAGTTTTAGATGTTTACTTGTACAAGAAATCATTGCTTACATGTACATTCTAGACAATTCTAATCATCGGGGGATAGTAGTTGCGTGACCGTCCTTCATCTAGAACTAATGTGGGTGATGAAGTTCTTGTGTAAATGTATTTTAAATTTGACGTTATTTTGTTAAGTTAAAAACCAAATATTTGAGCAAATTTAGAAAATCTATGTAATGATAGATTTCTTTCTTCATAAAAAGGTTGTTTTTAAAGAAGATCAGTTTAATTGCATTTTCTGTGTTAAAATCAGTAATTTTTATTCTTCAGTGCAAGTAATTTATGAATGTACTTTTTCCCAAAATACAGTTGCTGTAGTCCTTATACCAGATGTATGCACTGGAAGTATACTTTTGCAAAAATTATATTATCTTTGTGGCGTCATAGAAATATATGTAAATGAGCATTTTGATTAACTTGATGACAAATGACCGAAAAGCAGTATCAGATTTATAAAACAAATTGAAAATCCTGTTCAGAATAAATGATACAAATTCAATTACACCAAAGAAATGCCAAAATGAAATATTTTTAGTAGCTAAAATTTGTTTAATGAAGAAAACAAGTAGAGAGCTTTAATCCTCCTTTTTTTATAAATATGAAACTGAATTGGATGTAAATAATATGATTTCAGTACTGATATTTTAAAGCATGTATAGTTGCTAAAAAAGAAAAAAAAATTGGACAGTCTTTTGCAATCTGTCAAGCAATCAAGCATTTTTAGAAATATTTTGTCATGTATGTTTGGGAATTTGAATAGTTTGTTTGCATGGCATATGCATGGCGGTTTATGAAGTTTGAAGTAAATGGTAATTAGAACACAGTCGTAAATCTTGTTTCTCTGTGTTCCAATTGACATAAAAAACATGCATTGTGATTTTTTTTTAAATAAATAATTGTGAGGATTGTTTGATCATGCACTGTGATAGCTTGTGTACATTTAGAAATTGCGAACCTATTTTCTACAAAGGGATGGAACTTCCGGAAGAGTGGTCATCAAGTTTTACAGATTTCTTTTTTTTTAATTCAGTAAATCATCTCGTCAGCTGTCTTCATTGCTGTTTAATACACCAGTAGTACTAGTCAGCAAAGCGCGTGTTTTCATGCTTGAATCAGTTATTCTTAGAAACTGCCAATTTAAGACCATAACTTACAAGATACTGCATTTGTTTAGTAATCATGCTTGGCTTCAAACAAGATCATTATCAGTATACCCAGATATCGGGTGCTAGGTGCTCCAGTTCCAATGTTTGTTGTTTTTGTTAGGCACTGAATAACAGATTGAAGGTTTGTAAACATGTGGGGGTGTTGTTCTCTCTCTCTCTCTCTCTTCTGCTTGAGTGCACCAATGTGTGAAATATAAAATCATACACATGTATTGGGAGGAGAGGAAATACTACATTCTTAACACTAGCACCTTTAATACATGAGCACCATACACTAGCACCTTACACTCTCCATGAAAGAGAACTCTCACGTTAACCGTGAACTTGTTCAAGCTGCTAGCAGTCGTTTGCTGATTTTTGCTTTAACCGATGATTAATGCAGTAAAGATGCTGCTGGAAGATCACTCTTTTTGCGTTGTGTTGAGTGAAAATATTTTTAAATCAAAGTTCATTTTGAAATTGTTTTACTGAAAAGGTGAAGAAATTCGTGATTTCAAACAGTAACTGCGTGATTATAATGTTATTTGCTATGTGCAGAGACTGATGAAAAAATTCTTTGAAATCTAACCCTTTTTTAAACCGGTAATCGATACAGTAAACAATATTGCAGTGCCTTTTATAGCTTTTAATGATAATGATAACTATTCGTTTTTAAAACCTGTAACACTTATTGCATTTGAAATACCAAATATATTTGTGCACATGCCAAGGTACACATATTCAATTGTAAATATGCAGCAAGTATTCAAGAAATATTCACACGTACTCATGTATTCAATCGTTTTTGCTTTCATTCACAGGAAAAATATTCATGTTTGTGTTAATGTGGGAAGGGGCCTGAAATACTTAATTTAAATAACAAGGATTTTGTATGAACAACAATTATTAGGGAAACGGCTCCAGTAACAATTTTTTTATTTCTTATTTATAATTGTAATGCCTGTGTAATTTGCAAGTAGTCAATTTTCTTGTGTTAAAATCGATTCTACTTTTGTGTGTGTATTTATGATGTTAATTTATCATTCTATTTCATCAGTGCTCTTTAAGGGGACCTGTTATCCAAACAGTTATTTCTATATCGTGAATATCAAAAGGAACCAAAATCAATTTCATTCTTCCCAAACCATATAAAAACATACTAATGGTTAAAGAACATAAAAGGGGAAATATACGTTTGTTATTTTGAAGCCTGCATTGAAGTAAGAGGAGTTTCCATGTGTGTCAACTTTAACTCCATGTCTACTCCCAGGCTGCTTCTATCTCCACAAATAGTCAACATTTTGATATTAAACTTGTAATATCTGTTTCACAAAAGGATATTTACTCTGATTTTGTGAATATTCAATACCACAATTATGGAACCCAAATGCACAGACCATTTGTATCTCTGATTTTGGTGACAGGTTCCCTTTAGATTACTGAGATAATATTCTGATAATCTATTTAAGATTTATGTATATACTTTGTACATGATATGGTTAAACCACCAAAGCAAGTTTGATAAGAAATGATGTATACAATCAAATTCATTCTGTGTGTTCATTACTTCTTCCTAATTAATAGCTTAACAGCCCAGCTTTTCCATGATAGTTTAAAAATTACACACTAGCTCTTCCTGTAGCAGCAGTATTCTCACAGAGATTAAAGTTTGATATTTTGCAAAAGTTTACTATTGTACATAAAGGTAGGTCTTAGATGTGATGTTTGTATATCTTCAAATCTTGGAAAGGAAATTGTACAAGTTTTATGTTCTCGATTGTGTAGTATTTTAGCCCTTTGACTTTGTTTTTATCGTCTTTTGAAAGCCAAAAAGGATGTTAAATCTGTATTGAAATATACGACTTATCGCCCCTCTAGCTCTCAATAAAACATTGTATTCCTTGCCTGATGAAAACTTTTTTAATTACGATTGTTAAAGTTTTTATAACTTCAACTTCAGCTTCAAATTAAGCGTTTGCTTAAAGTTGGACAAAATAGATCCACACAAATTTTCGGTTGACACAAATATATTTACTTTGTAAGGCTTTTACCTACAGAGGATAGCAGATTTTGTCACAGGCGGTAAAAACTAGCCGCAGGCGGGGGCAATGACAGCCCCGATTTGGGAGAGAATGCTATTATTTGTAGGGGAGAAGCCTTCCAAAGTAACTCAAACAAATGATTGTGTCAACAGAAAAATTGTTCTGATCTAATGCACTGTTCAGATGTACTTAGTAGTAACAAATACTAATACACGTTAAATTTTCCACGACTTGAATTCTTGAAAGAGTTTGAAAATTCTGTGACAAGACTTTTTCTTCATAACTTGTTCAAATATTTTAAAATCCTATTAAGATCTTTATTTATCAGCACTATGTAATTGATTAATTTATTGATGCCCCTGTGCTTTGTTTTTATATGATATCAGTACTTCTCCAAGTCTGTAGTTAGGAACTGTCTTTGAACAAGAGACTTATTGTAAATTTCTAGAGAAATTTCTATGTGCGTTTCATTCTCTGTATTTTCAGTCGGTGTCATAAATTGGGCTTTTTGCTAGTACACTGCATCTAAATGGCGTAGTTGTAGACACAAAAAAATTGCTGCTTGTTTTTACATTTTTCATGCAGGTTTGAAATAAATCCATTAGAAATATTTAAAAAAACAGGTTGTTTTTTGTTGTGATTATGTTGGACAGAATCGATAGAGATAAAGAAATTAAGGAAGGCTAAAGATGTATAGGGAGAGGACAAAAAGTAGATTACAGAAGAGGAGGAAGAGACATGAGAAAAGGACGGAGGAAAAGAAAGGGGAGGAGACTAGTAGAGATATGAAGGGAGGTAGTAAGAGAGGGAGGGAGAGGGCGTTAAAAATGTCTCTTTTTTATTTTTTATCCGTTGAAATTTGATTTAAAGGATTTGTTGCAGAAGACGCTACACAAAATAATGTCAGATAAATAACCATGCACTTTGAAGGCATTTGCGGTCTGAAAACAGAACTCGACTATCCCTTTAAACAAGACCAATGACCTATGTTTTATCTTTTTTTTTAGAATAAACGATATTGCCATAAATATGTTTTGTACACAAATCACAAAAATGAGCGATTTTGGGGCTGACATGCCAAGACAAAAGGTCACATGACTTTGTAACTACACGTCCGATTTTCATAAAAATTGTTTTAAAAGATGCTTAAGACTTGAAAGAAAAAGGTCCTGAAAGGAAAACTTTATATCTGCCGCGGTTCTGGAGTAGTGGCTAAATTACTACAGGGGGGGGGGGTTTAAACCAGCATCAACATAACTAAAACGAACTACCCCTTTTTTGCTACGATGCATGAAAAGTGTTTTATTGCAATAAAAATGTGAAAACATCTTTGCAATTGGACGTAAGTTACAGAAAATTGACAACAAAATAAGTTTATGAATTTTAAAGATTTTAAATATTCTGAATCTAAACTAATCCCTAATTCTAAGATACTGGTGTATTTGTTGATACCCATTATGGCAAAACATCAAATACGCTTGTATACACTTAAAGTACGATTACTACATTGTCTAATAAACATTTGAGAAATTTACAAAAACAAATTATATAACCAATAACTAATAAAAAACAGGAAAAAATCAATCAGGAAAAACTCTGGAAAACCTTTGGATCCACTTTTCCAAAATAGACATATCACAAATCATTTCTATATCCATAATATGATACCAAATAGATGAATTTAAGTAGTAGGCGTAAGCGTAGAATGGTAATTGGTAATTAGTGACAATTATACTAAAGCACTCAACCAATGTATGCAAAACAGACGCATACAAAAAAAATAAGAGTGTTACCAGATTGAGCAGATTTTTGTGACATACAGCAATTATTTATTGTAACATATCTGTATTAGTATTTAATAAAACAGTTGTACGTTACACATTATAGCATTTGTTTAAAAGAATACAACATTTACAGTTAAGTTTCATAAACAACATGACTACATAATACAGAAATATGAGAACAAATAATAAATTGCAATGAGAATGTTTAATCATTTCTACTATGTTCGTAAATTGCATACAGGGGAAAAAAGACGTTATAGCTTATACACACAGGAATATATAATTCTCAAAATATAAGTGCAATAAAAATATATGAATATGTAGTTACATGGTTGGTTAGTGTAAATTAGGACGGATAAATAGTAGTATACTATCCCAAATTTTCGCGAGCAAAAAAAAAAAAAGTTGGGCCCCCTCCCCTAAGAAATCCTGGATCCGCGCCTGGTCACAGCAGCAGATTATTATAGCAATATCTATATGTGTGACTGTGAGCTTAATATTTATCAACTCGGAAGGACAGCAAACTGTCAGCCTTAGACAGTCGTATAAATTTACTTTAAAACAAATACTTTCGGTCTATATTCAATCACTCGAGCAAACCTGAAAGGATAGCCCAAACTCGTTTTGATGAAAATTATTTCATTCCAGTTTATGTCGGTCATGATGTTCTCCTTTTGCAATACGGAAGAGTTTACTAACCAACGTAAATTCTGAAAATGTTCAAATTATGCAAATAGCATCTTCCATTTTATAAAAATTCACATTTTCCAATATTTGCACCATCTAAAGTATATTTGATGGTAAACAGTAAGTCAAAATGAAGATATCAATTTCATATTGTTTTTAATGGGAGCAAATTTGCATATATAGATGTATTTCTGTAGAGAAGACTAAATTCCTTTTTCTTTATACGAAACGCTTGCGTTCAATGTGTCTGCCATGCTTACTGATATTGAGACCATAAATTTGGACACTTGAATTAGTAGTATTTCGATCGGAAATTACGGTAGATGAAAAAATATGAAAACATGATTTTCCTTTTGAGATATTTGCTGCACAAGATTTGCTGCACGGAGAGGACCTAAAGCCGTCGGTCCTCTGATTGCTTACTTACAAGCATTTATGCTTTCTGTGCAGTCGGGTAAAATAACCACCTAACCACTACATAAATCACAATTTTGAAAGGGGTGGTATACTAGCTACCTCCTTTACGTCCGTTTCCTTCTTTTAAAGGCACACTGCACTACTTGTAGCTACTTGCGCCCTCTATATAACAAACAATGCCTAATCGGTGACCATTGGTCCCCCATGATCCTCTTTTTCTTATGTTAACTGAGAGCTGAGTTGATGAGATAACCACCTGTCCAGTGACCTTGCAGGGCAGTCTAATCCCTCCTGTAAACTATGGCAGATAAGCTTTAAAGACAACTCTCCCTGTTTTGTATTTACTTCTAATTTGCTGACTTTGAGTCTAAATTTGTGATATAAAAGACAAGCACATCTAGTATTTGATTTGATTTGATTTCTGCATATTTCCAAATACAATAACTGAATAACAGAGAACATATAAATGTAAAGTCTAATACAAATTATACAAACAAATTAAAAAAATAAACTTGAATTGGAAAGACTTTTTAATTCAATAACTAAACCTTTACTTTTTCAATGAGGGAAAATCATAGCCGAGAAGGTAACTAGATGGAATTTTGACTGCGCGCAGTCGAAAATGATGCCTCCGCCATAGAGCAATTTAAATAATAGTGAGGTCTCTTGCTTTGCGCAATTTCTCAAGACGCGTGCCAAATTTCGAGGCAATCGGCCCCTCCCCCCCCCCCCCCCCCCAGTCAGGGAGGTGCTCAAAATAGCCCAGTTAAGTACGGGTTAAGTAACGGAACATATTTCAAGTGGTTCTTGACATATCATGACAAGTCCTATACATGTAGTCTGAAATTTTCAAGTTGACCTCTATGACCTTTGACATACATGTACTCCAAAATCTAATCTGATCGTTTTCCTATGGTGATATATATACTATCCTTAAGTTTGAAGTTTAAATCTCCAGTGGTTCTTGAGATATTATGATAACAATCTCAATGTATGGAATTTCATAAGTTGACCTCTGTGACCCTTGACCTTTGACCTACGTGCTCCAAAATCTAATCAGATCGTCTTCCTATGGTGATACATACTATCCTTAAGTTTGAAGTTTAAATCTCAAATGGTTCTTGAGATATCATGATAACAATCTCAATGTATGGAATTTCATAAGTTGACCTCTGTGACCCTTGACCTTTGACCTACGTGCTCCAAAATCTAATCAGATTGTTTTCCTATAGTGATACACACTATCACTAAGTTTGAAGTTTAAATCTCCAGTGGTTCTTGAGATATCATGATAACAATCTCAATGTATGGAATTTCATAAGTTGACCTCTGTGACCCTTGACCTTTGACATACGTGCTCCAAAATCTAATCAGATTGTTTTCCTATAGTGATACACACTATCACTAAGTTTGAAGTTTAAATCTCCAGTGGTTCTTGAGATATCATGATAACAATCTCAATGTATGGAATTTCATAAGTTGACCTCTGTGACCCTTGACCTTTGACATACGTGCTCCAAAATCTAATCAGATCGTCTTCCTATGGTGATACATACTATCCTTAAGTTTGAAGTTTAAATCTCAAATGGTTCTTGAGATATCGCGCTAACAAACTCAATACAAGGAATTTCATAAGTTGACCTCTGTGACCTGTGACCTTTGACCTACGTACTCCAAAATCTAATCAGATCGTCTTCCTATGGTGATAAATACTATTCCCGAGTCTTAAGTTTAAATCTTAAATGGTTCTTGAGATATTGTGATAACGGTCAAACGGGACGGACGTACGGACGGACGGACGGACGGACGGACGGACGGACGGACGTACGGACGGACGGACGTACGGACGGACGGACGGACGTACGGACGGACAACCCGAAAACATGATGCCTCCGGCACCACCTTCGGTGGCGGAGGCATAAAAATTACATTTGGTGAAAAATATATTATAGGGTAACAATTGTAACTCATTTGTTTAAAAATAATAAAATATCGCGGTTGAAAAAAGCTTGGTGCATGAGACATGTACAACTCCAAGAAAATGTCATGCTAAAAGGCATTACAACTTGCCAAGAAATCTTCATTTAGATTTTTATCTCTTGTACACCTTCGTGAGATAATGGATTTATTGTAAATCAAGAGGCAGGAATTCATCTTGTTTTTCAGATTATGATTCCACACCATTTCTTTCACAATGCAAACGCACGACAAGAAATCAACTTTATCTATACGCAAGAAAAAATACAGAAAGTAATAAATGTTCCTTAATTAATGAACAACAAAGTACTGATCCAATTAAAATTTCAAATGCTTTCAATGAGTACTATATAGATGTAGTATACATAAGTATCAAATTGAAATAAATAAACCAAAGCTGGAGAAGGGGCTTGAAGATTCCCCCCCCCCCCCCCCCAACATTGTTGATGTTCTTCAAATAAGACTCAAAACATATATTTTTTATTTTATATATTCACTAAAATATATTCAATGGAAATTCTAGGTTCGTAGGAAACTAAATATTTATATATTTTTGTATTTATTTATTTATTGATATATTCATTATTTTCAATAAAATATGTTCAAATTAAATTCTAGGTTCGTAGAAAACTAAATATTATATATCTTTGTATTTATTTATCGATATATTCAATATATTCACCAAAATATATTCAAATTAAATTATAGGTTTGTAGAAAACTAAAAATGTAAATAATTCCGTATTTCAGAGCATCAGATAGATATGTTCAATAAACTATATTCAAATTAAATTCTAGGTTTGTAGAAAACTAAATATTTATATATTTCATATATTTCAGAGCATCAGAGAGATTTGCATGGCTTAGACCAGACAAGTTAAAGGTATTACAAAGTTTTGGTATGGGGTCATGAATTTGCGTTCCTGCAATATCCATTGATCGTTGTCGAGGTTGAAATCGAGTCTAAAGTTATGAAATAATAAATAATAAACTCTTTATGTTGTATAGCTCCCTCTCAAGGTCAAGATATTAATTTAGCTATGAAACGATGTTTCTTGACTAAAATCGACCGATTAGCTATTCTTGTTTGGAAATTGTATATCACAACAACATATTCTGAGATTTTCATGGTCGCAGCTACCATTGTACGGCCATAGGCGCTATCTGAAATTTATCAAAATTTACCGGGAGCACCGGTAAATTTTTATATTCAATTTTTCTCGAAAACAGAAGTGTTTTGGGGGCTAATTTTTTTAGTGCTTATAATACATCCACAGGGGCATCCAAATATATAAAATTGTAAAGATTCACTTTCCACCCAATTTTCAAAATTTCCCAAAACTTTGTATTACCTTTAAGGCTTAAGTAGCTGTCACATAGTGCCGGCTATTAAAGCCACCATGTCGTTAATTTCTGATCTGGTTGTATAGATCAAAGAAATGTAATGCCTGAGGCCCCTGAAAGCTCATGGGTTTCGGCACTTTCAGGCATGTAGGCATTAAGAATTTTTAATGCTTAAGATCAGATTTCTTTTTCAAAAAATATAAACAAATTAAAAAGAATAAAAAGAATAAACAAAAATAATGGAAATTGAAGGATGCAGGATGTCCCAGAGTACGGGATTGTCCCGCAAAAACCGGGAAAAACCGGAAACTTAGGCCTGGTACCAACTGCAGCAGAGGGGAAAAGAGAGAAAAAACACACGTTATATTATCATCATACAGTTGTTTGTTTGAAGTTGGGACAAAAAACGGGATTCCACCCTACCCACCCTAGGTCTAGAACATGTATATATCTGAAACAGATTGCAAAAGAATATTCATCACAACAAACTGTTGGAATCTGCTCACAATTTTCGCTGATAATATATAAGTGTGTCCATTTCATTTCTTCTTATCATTATCTCTGGGGGCATTTCATAAAGCTGTGCATAAAGTTACAAATGACTTTACCAATGATTTGAATATGAAGAGCCAATGGGATGCCCAAAGTTTTTCCTGACTTTTTAACAAAGTGTGACTGTATTTCCCATAATCTCAATTAAATTGTAGCCCAAAATATACTTTTTATTTGTTAATAATGATAAGGTTTATCTACATCTGCATATTTCAACTTTAACTTCTGCAATCAAAAGGATTTGATATCCCCATTTAGCTCTTCATATTCCAGTCATGCGTAAAGTCGTGCATAACTTTACGCACAGCTCTATGAAACACCCCCCTGTTCTCCTTTTCTTTCCATTTTCCTTTATTCCTCTGAGAGCCCTACAAACCAGTTCCTTCTGACAAAAGAACCTTCTTAATAACCCATTCCACATGGAGTTTTCAATTGCTTTCAATGATAAATAATATTTAAATGATTCAAAATGGTATTTGATGACAAAACTTCATAACTCAACTAATGTTTGACCTTTCTCAATTACAAATAAATTTATTAGCAGCATTTTACATTTTACTGATGTAAGATCAATAATATCTCTCTCTCTTCTCCTCCTCCTCCTTTCTTTCTCTCTGACACACACACACACACATACACACACTACCCCCTCTCCTTCTTTCTCTATCTCACTCTTACCTATCTCCATGAAGGAGATACTCTCTGCGACTGCGGAGAGACTCAGACGATGGACCACCTCTTGCAGTGCGGCGGAACGGGTTGCACAGATGAAGACCTGTCCCTTGTTAATGAAACGGCCATTGCAGCAATCGAGCGATGGAAGAACTTAATTTAATTTAATTTACTTCTAAGTTAAGGAACTTTACATTACTATCTTGATCTAAGGAGACACGAACGAACGAACCTATCTCTCTCTCTCTCTCTCTCTCTTGCTCTCACTTCTACTTCTTCTTCCTCATATCTCCTCCCATCCCCCCTCTTTCTCACTCTTCCCCCTCTTCCTCTCCCTTTCCCACTCTTACCCCCCTCTCTCAAATCACTCTCACACACTCTCTTCCTCCCTTCTCTCTCTCTCTCTCTAATCCCTCTCTTGCTTGCTCTCACTTTTTCTTCTTCTTCTTCTTCTTCCTTCTCCTTTTTCTCCTCTTTCCTCCCATCTCTCTCTCTCTCTCTCTCTCTCTCTCTCTCTCACACACACACACACACTCTTCCCCTCCTTCTTTCTCTCTCTTTTTCTCTTTCTCTCTCTCCCTCTCTCTCTCTCTCTCTCTCTCTCTCTCTCTCTCTGTCTCGCTGTCTTACCTGTGCAGCATATTCCCACATTTCTCTTCTTTCCAACATCATCCTCTTGCAATCAGGTTGTAAATGTACTGCTTCCTCATCTAAAGCCTCCAGTACACAGGAAATCTCTGAAATAGAAAAACAAATTCAATAAATTCATCGAACTATCACCAATAATAGCAGCACTGAAATAATGCACATGTTTTGTATTGCCATCCTCTTCACAAAAGTGTTGTAGTCAAGCGCTGCCATGAGACTATATTTTAATAGCCCTGGCTAGGACTTGGACAGAGTCATTAGCACAGAACCAATGGAGGGTTACATTTTCAGCAGCTTTGTGACTCAGAACTACTGGCCTCGACTACATCACTGTTTCACAAACTCCTAATGATAATACTTTCACAAGCTATTTTTGCATACATAATGAGCCCCATGACCTTTGGACTTTGACCTCATGACCCTAAAATCTAATCAGTTCATTGGCTCTGCAAGATACATACAAGTCTTGAGTTTGATAGTAATCAATCCATTGGTTCTACTGATAATACGTTCACAAGCTATTTTTGCATACATAATGAGCCCTGTGACCTTTGAAATTGTGACCCCAAAATCTAATCAGTTCATTGGCTCTGCAAGATACATACATGACCCAAGTTTGGCAGGAATCCATCTATTGGTTCTTGAGATAACGCGATCACGAGAACGGGACGGACGGACAACCCGAAAACATAATGCCTCCGGCTACTTTGTAGGAGGCATAAAAATACTAATAGTGGGTTTCTGAGTTGCACTGGTATCTGCCCCACTTGACTCTCCTTTTAACTCCAGCCTTAACATCCCGACTTCAGCATGGCTGCTTCTAAAGGAATATTACACTTACGTTGGCCCTGTCCTTGTGGGATGCCTGCACAGTAATGTTTGATGTCTAAAGCACAAGCCTTGTAGAGCAGAGGATCAATATGGATATCGGCTAGGCCCTCAAGGAAAAGATTTACCAGTTGCTGTTAAACAAAACAAAAATTAAAGAAGATTCAATAATGACAGTATCTTTGTTACTAAGATGAGCCATGAGGCACACCTCCACATTACCAGTTCCTGGGTTATCCATCTCCTTAGAACACTTCTCTTTCGGATGGTATCAGAACCCTAATCACCACCACAATTAATACCATCATCAAAACCATCACCACCACCATTAAAACTATCACCATCAGTACCATCAAAACCACCATCACCATTACCATCACCATAACCACCCGCCCACACAATCACAATCACAACCACAATTACAACCAACATCATGATCACTGTGACGACCACTGACCTGTTGGCATTTTTCATCCTTGATTTCACTAAGATGAGCCTTGAGGCACTCCTCCACTCTACCAGTTCCAGGGTTATCCATCTCCTCGGAACATTTTTCTTTGATGGTATGGGAGCAGTACTTGACCAAGTTGCGGTCCAGCCGGTAATCCTCTGCACCTTCCTTCAACAACTGTACAAAATTAAAATATTGATAATAATAACGGCTACATTCATATCCCCACGTAGTGTAAACTTCTACCAACCTCAAAATTAGTTTACAGGTTGGTACCATAAATAATAAGTTTTCTGTGTTATATATTCATATCCACTCCAGGGGGATAATCAAGGCACATGCGGTATGCATACACCTACTATCACCATGGCTTTAGCAAAGCGATGCTGAGAGAATTCAAGGAAATACTTCCCACCAGGTACCTATTTAGTACACCTGGGATGAGAGTTACAAATACAAGGATCTTTGTAATGAGTGCCGCTGCTGGAACTCGCACAGCAAGCCATTTGATCCACAGCTCCGCCAAATGTTAACTACTAGCTCCTAGACCACGACACCTCAACCAACCAATTGTTAAAGCGGGACTGCACTACTTGTAGCTACTTGTTCCCTCTATTTAGCAAACAATGCCTAAGCATTGACCGTTGGTCCCCCATGATCCCCTTTTTCTTATGTTAATTGAGAGCTTATTTGATGAGATAATCACCTGTCAGTGACCATGCAGGGAGGTCTAATTCCTCCTGGCCAAACTAGTGCAGACAGGCTTTAAGATTCACAGCGAGGGATGCTCTGAAAACATGTTTGGCAATGATCAGCATGGATAAGCAAAAAGGATGAGGGATTCACTCATGAGATTTGTTACCGTAACCTCAAATTATACCTATCATTGCAATCTAAAAGCTCTAAAAGCTTCTAAAAGAAAAAATAACCTTGTAATACTTACTCCACCCATATGCTTGTCACAGGCTGGACTTAACGTCTGTGATCAAGAAAAAAAGAAAAGAGGAAAATATATTTCTGAACATCTTAGACACAACCAGATTTGTACTTTGAATGCCATGCAAATTAACATGGCCATCAGTAGAAGGACGGTCCTTTCATCTTTTCCCCTCACCATTTCCTCATCTCCACCTTTCACCTTACTTATTACTACTATTCAACTGGTTGTGGGACGGGAGGGGAAGGGAGGGGAGCATATGCCTTTTATCTGGTCACGTGTAGCTTAAAACTTGGGCAAGTATAGATATTGTCTAGATATATAAGTCTCATATGCTACCAACATGATTTTATCAAATTTATAGCCCTACTAGAGCTTGGGTCAGATCAAATACAAATAAGATTAAACTTTCCAGTTAATTTTTGTTAGTTTCTCTATTTTGGGTAACAAATGAAACAGCAAATGTCCAAACACCTTGGACTTGCATAAATACTAACTGAGTTCTACTCACAGCTTGTCTCTTGGAGAACTGCAATCTAAGGCAGCCGATCATCTTTCCCTCCATGGCAGTGGGGTTATTCTTCATCTCAATCTCCACGTCTTTGCAGAACCTTGGAATGTCCATCTTGCAGGCCTTGCGCAGCAGAGGATTGAGCATGATATTAGAGTTGCGCTCTATCTGCCGCTTGTTCAGAACCATCCTGCATCTGTGGATCGAGGTAAAAAAGAAGGAATTCATCCTTTAGATGTCTGTGGTTATTACAGTCAAAGCTCTCTATTGAGGCAAGCCAAGCTAAATGGAGAAAGAGAGAGAGAGAGAGAGAGAGAGAGAGAGAGAGTGGCCACTGTAGGCAGGTGGCCTTTCTAGACAGGTTCTACAACAGACATTTCTTTCTTAAATAGATCAGATAGGATTGTTTTTTACAGGTGTGTATCCATCAGATATGACCCGACCTTTAATGTCACCATCCAAAAGCGTGACTCAGTCTAAAACCGGGGTTCGCCGAGTCAGTTTGTAGGCAAAGAACAGAGAGCTGATCGTACCACAGACATTACCGCTAGACCAACCCACATCTCCCTATCATATGATCCCCTTCCCCCCCCCCCCTTTTATTATCAAGATCTGTTAAAGTTGAGTCTTACCTTGGTCCTGTACCAGGATCATCTTTGCGCTCTTTCAGACAGTCAATCAATTTATCAGGGTCTACGTCTTTACACTTGGTCTGGAAAACATCAAGAATCAAAGGAAACAGGAATAACATCTTTATGAATCATTTAACATATCACTTGTTATGGAAAGCCTTTCTTAAGACGTTTTTATTGTAAACCATTACACTTTTATACCATATTACTAATTTTTAAGGCCTATTTTAAGGCAGTTCCAGTGATGAAAACGAGTTTAGGAATCAACATCACACTGAATAGAAAAAATCATGGAAAAGTGAAGAAGACAGCATGTAAAATATATGGATCCATTCAATAGGCCCACCGGGATCATAGTGCCAGAGATAGAAGCAGATGGACAGTCTTGATCACTAATGTCTGGAAAAGACAAAGCACCTAGCTAGCAAGCAAGCACGCTAGGTATACATGTGTGTCTTTAAGGAACAAGAACAATGAAGAAAAGTGATGTACCTTGATGGTTTTCTTGCAGGAATGCATGAGGGCATAATCAATGTCAGGTTTGGCAGCCATCTCTTTCTCCCTGTTGAAGACCTTGACGTGGCAGTCATTGCCCAGTTCTTCCTGGTGGGACCGTAGGCACTCCATCACCCTGGCATTGCCCTGGGTCACCGTGGGGCAAAGCTTGGTGACTTCCGCGTCACACGCTTTCATGAGCTCGGGATCCAACTTGATGTTTTCATTCTAGAGAAGCAAAATGGGTATCCTTGAATATACTTCAAATTGCAGAAGTTCACACAACACACACACAAAAAAACAACTAGATGGAACTTTGACTTGCACGCAGTCGAAAATGATGCCTCCGTCAGAGCAATTTTACAAACCAAAACAGAAGAAATTTTTCAAATTGAAGTTTGATTGTAATCAATGAACAGATTCTCAGAATATCGTAATTACAAGCTATTTCTCGTATACATGTATGACCCTTTGATCTTTGACCTCATGACCCCAAAATCTACTCAGTTCATTGGCTCTACAAGATACATACATGTCTTGAGTTTGATGGTAATCAATCAATCGGTTCTAATGATAATGCAATCATAAGCTAATTTTGCATACATAATGAGTCCCATGACCTTTGACCTTGACCTCCTAACCCCAAAATCTATTCAATTCATTGGCTCTGAAAGACACATACATGACCAAAGCTAGGGCAGGAATCCATCTCTCAGTTCTTGAGATAATTCAATCATGAGCTATTCTTGCATACAAAATGAGTCCTGTGACCTTTGACCTCATGACCCCAAAATCTAATCAATTCATTGGCTCTGCAAGTTACATATATGACCAAAGTATGGTAGGAATCCATTGGTCGGTTCTTGAGATAACGCGATCACGAGAATGGGACGTACGGATGGACAACCCGAAAACATAATGCCTCCGGCTACTTGGTAACGGAGGCATAAAAACTCTTTCACCAAAAAATAGTCTTATAACAAGCCTGAGTACATGGAACCAGTCGTCTTTGAGGAAGTTTCCCTCCTGTTTGACCCTAATATGGATCGAACCTAAGCTCTACTTGACACTACCCAACCCCTAGATGACTCCAATATAGCCCTAGCCCTACGGTGACCCCTCCTTGACACCTACATGATCTCAACATGACCCCAATCTAACCCCATACGACCTCTACTTTACTCTACCATACGGCACTCTGGATCTACAGGTGGTTGTAAGACAGTGTCACACACAGCTGGCTCAGACGATTGATGATAAAGGGCCTAGTGACCCTACCTGCCCCCACCATGACCCCAATTTAACCCCATACGACCTCTACTCGACCTCTACAAGACCCTCACTCACCCTCTGAAGTAACTCAAACTTAAGTTGCGAGCGGCACTCTGGATCTACAGGTGGTTCCTTTTGTTGTAAGACACTATCACGCACAGCTAAGGTCAGGCAATTGATGATAGAGGGCCTAAGGAAAGAATAGAGGTATAGGAAAGTAAAAAGTCTGCGGCAGATCTGTGGCAGACTTTAAGTCTGCGGCAAAGAGTATGCCGCAGGAACAGTCTGCGGCAGAATGAAACTTTGCTCCAGACTCGCCGCACATAACAGTATGCCACAGGAACAGTCTGCGGCAGATCTGTGGCAGAATGAAACTTTGCCCAAGCTTGATCTTGTGAAATTCCTGTGTTATTTGTCTTTTTAGCTTCTGTCAAACCAAACAATATGTTATTTGCTTCAGGTTCTAACTGGTACCATGAGAGGAATTTGTTACATAGCGAGGAGACTGAGGAATTAACAGACTATTTCAAACTTTTGTCGTTGTGCCATGTGATCTTATCTTCAACCCCACTAACTCACTTTTTTGTTGTCACTGTTGTGTAATGTGTGCACATGTAGCATATGGATCTGTGACTCTACTCTGGACTATGTGTATGCAGTTATTGTATTTTTACCTCTACCTCTACTTCTGCATTGTGTTACCCACATTTGTAGAATTTTTGAAGCAATTCTGCCTGTTCTAGCTATTTTTACTTCAAGGTGCTAGAATGATGCAATGCATGGCTGTCCAGCAGCCTTCCTGCAAGACTGCATTAAAGATATGTCCCCCCGGCCCCCCCACTCAGTGTTATTTAGGGTACGCATATGCTCGTACCCTCTTTTTGAAAGCACCCCCTATCTGAGGACTGCCAACATTTCCGAACCCCCCTTTCTCGGGCTTTTCGCGGGCTTTTCCTGCCTTGGAGACCCCCCTAAATCAGGAAAAATGCTCAATGTACCCCCCTAAATTCGGAATAATTTCTCAGGAGTCTAAAGAGATGAGAGAGAAAAAGAAAAACACCCCCTTTTTAAAGAAATCTCCGGGTGAAAAGTCAAAAACACCCCTTTTTTTTACAAATCTCGGGCCGGACTTTGTCGCACGAAAAGTACCCCTTTACCGGACATTTTGGCAACACGCATGCGGTCATTCCGACCTCTGAGTGGGGGGGCCGGGTATGTCCCTTTTGCAGCCAACATCAAATTCTGTAGAGCTTTGAAAGAATTAAGAATATATCGTGTATGTCCTATATGTGAAATTTAAACGTTAGCAGTGTCCTAATATTTGAATTATGCAATGAAACCCGTTTACTTGTCAGCCTGCACTGTCAGATACTATTAGGTGACCGACTGGCATTTTTACTTCTTTTGTAATAACATGAAATGAGCTGTAAAGGGTACATGCATGAGCATTTTTCTACATCAATAACCCACTTCTTGGAATGGCCAAAATTAAACTGATTGAATCTTTGCACAGCATAACACGTACGATCATTCCGTACAATGGTCTGAAAATCAGACTATTACTTACTGGCTCTATAGCTCTTGAGTCGATTCGACAACTAATACGTTATTTTCCCACTTAAAGACATTTCCAAGCCCCCTTGGGGGGGGGGGGGGTTCTAAATTAGTATTATCTTTCAAATGCCGTTGGAATTTAACCTTTTCATTTTTTGGGCCTGCAAATGGGACAAAGTACCTTTAACTGGTGTGGATATGAAAGAGTATGCAGAAAGTATGCAACAGTTCTATATGGGATATGAATATTTATGCAGACTCTTTGTCATAAAGAGCTTTGAAAGCGTGTGTTGTGTCTTCTATGATGACCTTCCAAATGAAAGCAGCAGCAGTTCTTGAGGGTAATTGGGAGGGGTGATCAAGCCCCCACCCCACTTCTCAAATTTCTTGAAGCCTCCATTTTGAGCATCATTTCTATGAATATTCATGACAAAGAGTCTGCGGCAGATCTGCCGCAGACTCTTTGTCATAGCCTTTTTATGAATATACATGATGAAGAGTATGCGACAATGGAGCGGCAAGTCTGCAGCAAAACTAATTTGCATGTGAAAAAGATGACTGTCTGCGGCAGGCTCATTTCTTTCCTATGGTTAAGGGATTGGTAGTGAAATGGGGCAGCAGTGGGTCGATCGACGCTAGGGCAAGTCATAGAAGATTTCTTGTTCACTCGTGTCTCAGATAAAATGGTACAATGAACGTAAATCATCGAGTGACATTTTGAGCATCATTTTACTGAGCAATTCCTTGCTCTGGATGGGCTTACAACTTCATTAAAAAACCAGGTAAACTTAAATCTTTGGTTTGATTTGTTAGATAACTAGTGGTCATAAACTTTGGACTTGCCATGCAAAATAATTTGCTTCCTTTCAATAAATAAACGATATTTGTGAAAAGAAAGGTTAAAGGAATCATACTACTGTTGTCTAAATGTTTGTTAGGAGTCCTATTACTGGCAATACTAACAAATATTTCTGAAAAGTACACTAAATATCTGAATCACTTTGGGATACATACAAAGACAGTAGGCCTGAAAAGGATAAGATCCTAATGTGAAAATGCACAACTCCTTTTCTTTTGTTTTTAATAAAACGATACACTGTTAAGAAAACTATTGAAAACAATCAGATTTATAAATCATGTATCCTTGTATTAACTCACTTATCTCGGCTTCCTTTGCAGAGTTTAAGAACATCTTTGTGACAGCTTTCCTTGAATTTGAAAGTGAATCGGTAATCTTTCAACTGAATCTGTAAAGGCAAACAGAATGTATATATTGCAAACAGGTTATTTGTATTGAACTTTTTTTTTTAAAAACATCAGTGTTTTTTAAAATGTCCAATGCAAGCCTGATATTTAGTATCCATCCATCCTTCCCTTTATCCATGAAACTTTCATTTTACATGATACTTACAATTTGGAAATGTTCAATGCTAGCCTGACATTTAGTGATATCTCATCATTCATTCACTAACTGATTCATCCATCCATCCATCCATCTTTCCCAGGGATGATAATGAGCACACACACACACACACACACACATACAAAACAAAATCAAAAACCTTCTAAAAAAAAAAAAAGGAAAAATCTCCAAAAAAGATTTAACAGGAAAATCAGCACCAAAAAAGATGAAATAATGAATCAGCAAAATTTGTAAAAATCTGGGAAATCAGCAGAAAATCAGGGCAAAATCAGTTATAAGAAACTGAGCAAAAATTGGGTAATTATCAGGCCTGATCCTTCCCTTCATTGATGACCCACTCATCTCACAGGATACTTACAAGTTGAAAATGTTCAATGCTGGCCTGGCATTTTGCCTCCATCTCATCATCATTCTTGTGTTCTATCAAACATTTCAAAGCTTCTCCTTCATCAACCCTCTTAGCTTTCAACTTATCCTGAGAGAAAAATAACACAAAAATACAAAGACTTAGTTTAGCTTTTTTAAACCAATATAAAATAAGACAAACATATAAAAACAGAATTATAGTGATAATACTTTGGCCCGTATTCTGATGAATAATCAAACTCAACTATTCATTAAAAGCTCTAAACTTTTTGATGTAAGTAAACTTTTTGATGTATAAGTAAACTTTTACTATAACAGAGCTTTCAAAATTTATCATTTCTCTTTTTTATAAAAAAATAATTCTCCATTTTCTTAGCGATACAGTCTATATACTGACAATAAAATATTGATTCAAATCACATTGGAAACACTTCATTACAAATGTTATAATTTTAAAGACACAACAAGCGATAACATTGCGAAAGAAGGTGTTTGGAGGAAATTAGGAAAGATCAACAATGTAGTACAGAAGAATTGGAATAAACTGAGAGGTCTCAGAATCACCAAAAGAATAAGAAATTGAATCGTCTTGCCGAGAGTCACATAACATTGCACAAAGAAATAGGTACATGTATACATATAGCTCCGTTTAGTCTCACTTCACAATGCCCCCTATCGTCAGAGTCAGCAGCCATACATGTTAGCCTATGGAATTGTACAAAAAAAAAATAATTACAAATTCTTCTTTTTTTTAACGAAAAGCACATACACCCCGACTTACGTTATCACTAGCTCTTTCATTGGAACCCTCATGTCCCATTGACTTTTGAAAGTTCACCCACCGTAATTTGATCAAAATAGGTTGCAAGCTCGTCATTGCCTATAGTACACATGTGAAACAAGTCGAACTTTGGACTCAGTTTGCCAAGCGATTTTAAGATTATAGGTCAAGCACACGAAGGACACGAAGGATAAGAAGCATGAATTATCATAGATCACTTCTGCTTGGTTCATTATGTCCATTTCAACCAACCCCCCACCGTCATTTTTCCATTTAGTAAAAGCAAACATTTTGCCGAGTTTAGCAAAAACATAAATATTCATGAACGGTCAGACAATACAGCCTTTTAGTACATAACGTATAGCTAATGGGAATGGGCGATGATCCGTCCAGGAGGTAGATCCGTCCAGGAGGTAGAGGTCAGTGGTTTGTGCTGGCAATGTTCACGCGAGCGAAAATGAGACAATCGGAGCAATATGATGGGACTCTACATGCACATGTGGCATGAAAGTTGGGTCCAAACTGTGCAGCTGTTTCTTGTCATGTTTGAAATAAGAAGAGGGTATATGTGCATTTGAAAAGCAATCCTTTTCAGGGACGTTCCTTCTATGATATTCTTCTCTACATGACTGAAAAGAGAAAGAGAAAGTTCAAAAATGTATTTTTCATCTTCACTACAACTCCACCTTCTCTTCTCACCTGGCAGAACTTCCTGAGCATTGGAGCGCATGCTGCGATGAGCTTCCTATTCATCTGCACATCTTCTGCTTCTTCCACAGTGAAGTTGCCCATGGCTTGCCTGCACTTCTGTCCCAGATCATCCATGTGATCTTGAAGGCACCTCAATTCCTGGAAAATTAGAGTTTAAGCCTTCTAAGGTCAGTTTCCTAGTTCAGTACGGATTCCACACAAGAAATGAAATATTTCTATGATAATGAAAATCTAATGAAGTGCATTCATAAAATACACAATCAAGTTATATAAGGCAAGTCCAGGGTATAAGTTCATTTGGTTTTAAATACATTACCTATTATTATAGTATTATGCAGACCAGCTAATGTGTGTCTGCATCAGAAACGGATTTAATTTTCAAACATTTGTCACATCTGGCCACTGAAGAAGAGTGTGACACTAACCTGTTTCTTTTTTTTTCTTTTTTGGACAAGTCATCGCCCTCCGCCTGATGGAGGGTTTTTAGGCCGTTTTTTGGTTATATTCACATAATATTTTTTCCCCGTAACATAAGAGTAATACTAATCGCTTCATTCTTTTAATTAAATGTAATGTTAATGGTTATAATTGTGTTAAGTGGGGGCATGCTACAAGAGTCCTGTCTCGACCCAGGGGCAACGTGTCTGACACGGCCGGTTGTAGCAACTACTCTGACGATCAAGATACAAATCTTGATCTAAGGAGACAGGAAGGAACGAAATGAACCTAAATTGATGTTAAAAGTATAATTTCAGTTGATAGTTGGTCTGCTCGAATATTGATAAAAGAATACATAATTTGGGTTTTCTGTTGTACGCAGAAAACCTAATTTTGTATTCTTTCATCATTATTCGACTTCAAACACATTCGTTTTGAAAATCCTTGCAGAAATGTGTCTTAAATGCAGCCTCTTTCACATTATGATACAATCTAAATAAAAATTTTGCTAGCAAATTTTGAGGGCTCCCAGCACTTTAGAGGGGCTTTAAACAAAATATTTATGTCCTTTGTTTTTCTTGCAAGTCTAAAGACAGCAGACTTTTCGTTGCTTACCTCTCCTATCTTGGTCTTGTCGTTACAGTGCGCGCCCAGATCGACCCGGCAGTTCTCTTCTATCCTTGGGTTGAGGTGCACGCTCACAGCCCTCTGACGGAGAACACGGTGGACTTGGTCAGCACAACGGGATTGAAGCTGAAGTACGAAGGGAAGGAGTTTTAACAGAGGGGTACTATGCTTGCTCGCTCTATCTCTCCCTATTTCTATCTTTCTACCTCTTTCTCTTTCTATCTGTCTCTCTCTCCCCCACCCCATCTCTCCATCTCTCTCTCTTCCCCTCCTTGTCTCTCTATATCTCTTTCTATCTATAAATCTATCTATCTCACTCTCTTTCTCTCTCTCCTTTCAGGTCATCACATTTACTCTGTGCTAGGCAACTGTTGAGAGCCACAGGATGATAACTCTGTGTAAAGGATGTGCCAACGCTCTTCTTGCCTTCAGCGGACAAAATCAATGACCGGCTCTTGCAATCACCGTTACATGACGGTACATTAAGCCCTCCACATACTGAAGGATGCATGGCAGGGAAATTCTTTAGCAAAAGCACCATTTGAATTATACAACATTGTAAAGGAACATGCATGAGTAAAAACCCTTCATGCTTTCAAAAGACAAGAGAGGGTTGTTACAGATGCCTCATGGTCAGCAATGAGTTCTTAAGTTCAGAGCCACAAGGGGGCTCGAGCTATTTAAAGTATATGAATTAATGCCCTTTTGGCTCTCAGCTGGGAGCATACTTACTGGTTGGGAGTGGTCATGGAGATGACGATGGAGACAGGAGAATACAAGTCCGCTGGGGGTCTCCTCCTTTCCATTCCACTTCTCCTCCCAGCAAAATATGCTGGCATCCGATTCACAGTTTTTAAAGAGAAGAGGGTCTAGCCTATAGAGACAGAGAGAAAAGACAAAGGTGATCATGCAGTGAAAATTATGGTCCTCATAACGTACTATAAAAGATTGTCATGCTAATCATGGTCCACTTTATTATTTACGTATGCATGCATAGTGGATAGCCATGGAGAGAATGTGTCTTGAGAACCTCCCTGTCAGTATTCTGGATTGTTTGAAGTTCTTTAAGTGACATTTCGTGAGTGAATGGATGTTATTTTAACCATATGTATGCTAGTCCCTGTGCCTGTGACATGAAGCTACCACTAGTGGACGGCCTTGCTTGTGTATGCGTTTCTGTGTAACGACAGCAGCAGAGAGCGAGCAAATGACTGCTTATAGCCCTGCCGCTGGTGCAGGCAACACTACTTCTTCCTTGCGGTGTCAAAATGGGCGGTCGCTGGTCGTGTTAGGCATGTGGTTGTTACAAGCGGGATAGTTAGTACATACTTTTCTGTGGTGGAAATATTAGTGGTCAATATGGTCAGGTGGTTGTTATAGACAGGTGGTCACGAAGGCTAAGACTGAAAATAAGACCGCAACTCACCTGTAATTTCTGGAGATGAAATATTGTGTTTCCAAAAGCTTTTCAGCACAGTTATCCATCATCTGGTTATCTTCAATATTTTCCATTAAACAAGACAGAGTTCTGTGGCAAACAAATGCAAAAATATGTATTATTATATTATTAGACAAGGCTACCAGTCATTTAAACCAAATTAGCCTGAAAAGAGGCCTCATCATGTTGGATCATTCCATATGACAAAGAGCCAGAAACAGATGTGTGACAGGGCCTGAAGTGGGGAAATAAACTGAAAACAGGCATCCCTGATTACATTATGGGGAATGAAAATAGAAACTATGCCATCAAACTTGGGATAAAATAACGAAATAAATGCCACCAATAATATTAATAATAACAATATTTGTAACGCGCAACATATCCATCTCTAGCGATGCTCAAGGTGCATACAAATAAAGAAAAGCTTTGAATTTGATATGTAGATCATTCAGCTTGATGTGTTCTGTTTTCTCTCTAAGAATCTATTGAGATCGAGCCTTGCTTAATTAGGGAAAATTGATAAAATGACAAACAGTCATGGCAGTCAGTCCGATATCACTCAAAATAAAAGCCGGTAAGCCTTTTCTCTGAATTGCAGTTTTACAATTCCCCACGGTTCAACTTTCTATACTAATGACTTTGCAGAATATCAATCGTAAAGATGTCTACTTTTAAATGTTATATATTTCATCTTATAATCTGCATACATGTATGAATGAAGTCAGATCATGTAGAGTTGGGCTGACTTTAAGATATTTCTGCTGATGGTACTACTGACATGATGTATTAAGGTCCAGAGGGACTGACCAGACATTTCCTCCCTGAGGTCTCATGGTCACACAGCTTTCATAGGTTAATGTTTAGGGTTAGGGTTAGGTACAAAGTTCGGTTCAGGGATAAAAGCTGGGAGACTGTGACTATAGTGCCAAGCATTGACCATATTGAACAATCGTTGCTGGAGCAACCATCGCTGGCAGAGCAATTATTGTTGGGGTTGTATGCTCCCATGACAATTGCTGTGTGATTTCCTACACTAACCAAATTCTTGTCTTCAAACCTTTGACTCAACATTTTGCCTTACCCTAATAGTGCAGCGGTTTAGCAAGAAAATTGTGCACTTTTTGATAAAAGCATGAAACTTCTAGCATAGTTAGCTTTCACCATAAGATTTATTTTCAGATGTGGAGGGAAATGAGATTTGACCTCTGATGACCCTGAGAGGTCAAATTCAAAATGGCCGCCAGTCCGCATGGTCTAATTACAAACACGCTTAGTTTTTGAACCATATAGTCCAGAAACACATTCAAGGTGTCATTTCCAACTAAATTGGGGATGCCAATTCATTTAGTAATACTTTTGAGATCGCCAGAATTCAGGGTTTTGCATTAAGGTCAAGGTCAAGGTCAAAATTGAGTTTTGAATGTTTACAACAACAACAAAATCCCATTTATTTGTCATTTGTTTACCCCTATGATCTCAATTTTTTTTAAGAGTGGTTCCCCTGCAGACCATTAGATTCATTTTTCGGATGTGGAGGGAAGTCAGATTTGACCTCTGATGACCCTGAGAGGTCAAATAAAAAATGACCGCCAGTCCCGCCTATTCTAATACACTTAACTTTTGAACCAAATACTCTAGAAAAACGATTGAGGTGTCATTTCTAACTAAATTGGGGATGCCAATTCATTTGGTAATACTTTTAAGATCATTTGAAATCAGGGATTTGCAATAAGGTCAAGGTCAAGGTCAAATTAGGCCCAAAAAGTGATTTTTTTTGTTGTTGTTGTTTTTTTTAAACTTTGCCTCTATTTTGACAATAAAGGAGTCATTATTTGCAAAAAAAATAAATAAAAAGGACACATGTACCACCACTTTGACTACCCAGGGCAAAATTTCATAGAGCTGCTTAACAGCCAATTATGTGCTTACGTATGAGTTACTACTTCATAGCGCTGCTAACCGTATAAGCACACTAAAATGCATACTGTAAACCTAACGGTGCTTACTGCAGGAAAATGAATTTTTTAACAATGCAAATCCATTGTGAACGCGCAAGGTGGACACCTTGTTTTCTCGATAACATGTGAGACCTATATGCTAACCTGCTTGAGCAAATTTGTCTGCTACAGTTAGCACGAAAATTAGCTTACCGGTAAGCAGCTTTATGAACCTGGGCCCAGAAGACAAAAAAAAGCTATTCCAAATACGAACCTGCTCATTACCACAGCTATAGTTATCTACATAAATTTAGCACTGCATGTCCACAAAATCAAAATCTAACAGTCTCCAGAACAAGAGCACAGTGCAGTGCACTTGAGTGCAGCTTTGGCACATTTGCAACGTCCAGTGCACCCTTTCTTGCAGCGACAGTGTATCAATTCATGGCACGATTTTGATGCCTCCGGGAGAGTGGTCCAAAGAGGCTGCCACCCAGTTGTTTCATTTGTCCAGCCCCAGTCAGATGGCTCTGGCATCTCTGGATTCTTGGCCAATGTCTGGTTCCAACAGTTGGCCTGGTAGCAAGTGCGCTTGATGTGCTGCTTAAGTGCTGCCTGGGTTGGAGGAATGTTCTCAAGGTTTCTAGATTTCTGTGCGAAGAGCTGTTTCCTGGCATCATTCACTTCCATGCTCTCACTGGTTCGGTCGTACATCAGCACTACAAATCGCTCTAGCAGTAACATTGATCCTTCACTGACCTCACTTGGCATGCACAGGAGTTCACTAAAAGCATCATTCACCTCTGGGAAAGACTTCCAAGTTTCCCAGGCAGTCTTCTTGCCTCTGCCAGCGAATGCAGAAACAGTGTCACACCCGGTGAACGCATGAAAGACTGGGAGAGTCATACACTGTGTCGGAGTCATGGTGGCAACCATTTCGTGAACAGCTATGTCCCGAAAGCTTGATCCGACACCGAAAGCGATCCACAGCTCATCAGGAGCTGCCTTGCTGAATGAAGCCACGGCAAGTACAACCACATCAGTATCAACGGTACGTATGGTTACCTTTTTGCACCCTTTTTGCACAGCATCTGCCACATGCAAAAGTAGACGAGTGTCAGCCTCCTCGTGCGAGCATGGGGCAAGGCCTGCCAAGTGTGACTCAGCAGGAGAACAGAGTACTCCACTTCCATTTGTTGCGTATAGTTCCTTGTCCTGTGGTAGAGGAAGATTAACGGCTTCGCGTGACAGGAAAGCAAATAATTCAGTTTTGTTCTCATCGACTCGGAGGAAGTCCTTCCAGTTTTTTGGCAGCACAGTAGAAGGAGCCACCCTTTTCCTGGTGCCCTTTCCCCTTTTCTGTCTTGTTGAGGCTTTCAGGCTAGCAGGTAAGTATACATCCCAGACAAGGTCAATGCGGATGCTTTTCTCTAGTTGAGCAAAGATGTATGGGGCAAACACTCTTTCTCCATACTCTTGAAATGTTCTTGATGTTCCAGGATTGAGCATTTGAACCACAGCTGCACCATCAAGAATTATTGCTTAGGCCACAGGTGCACTATTGTTTTCGAGCAGATTTGATTCCAGGCAGCGAAGTAGATCTGCTTTAACTCCAAACCGCATTTTTCCTCCAGTTGCCAGAGCTGGCGGGGCTGCCTGGTTTTCATGGGAGAAGAAATTGTCCATGTCTCCATCCCGTGTCTGACACGAGATGTATAAGTGAGATTCCGGTGCCGTGGAAGGAATCTTTTGCAGTTGCAGAGCTTGGATTGTGGTCAATGTTGTCCACAGCTCCTGTTGTAAACAATCCAAAACGCAACTTTGGCAGGCACACTACATCTTCCATCCTAAAGCGCTTGCAGACACCATCGGCAATGTCAGATGTGAGTTGCAACAGCCTGTCATAGGAGACACACATTCCCAGATTGAACAGTTTGTCAACCAGCCCTCTACTTTGTGTTACCGCATGGATCTTCAGGGATAAATAGATTGGGAGTGGAGTTTCTTGGCTGCGGCTATGACGTGCTGAGCTTGACTCCACGTTCTGTGTATGCTTCAGGCTGTTGAACACCATTAATTGGGAGATTGCAAGGGCAGGTTTTGTGGTGGTTGTGTGGACCAGCTGGGTCTGATGCTTGATGTTTGCCCCATCAAGTATCATGTTGACTAGAGCCAAGAGGGATGATGGCACAGAATCCTGCTGGCAGTTTGCCTGAAACGAACCATTGAAGGAGAAACTTGAGTCAAAGATCTCTCTGCGTACAACCTGTGCCGCTCGCATTAAGTGCATGGCATGACTGTCATGATGACAGGCATTCAAGAGGCCTGGTCCAATGTCCTTCTCAAAACTGAGAAGTGTGTCTCTTCCCTGTGAATGTGCCCTCAGTATAGGAAGTGCAGAAAGCAGTCTGTTTTTCAGTCTGGTGGTGTGAATCCGTTTGTCTACAGTCTCACCAAGCTGCTCCAGCCTTACCTTGTAAAGCTGAGCGATGTCTTTAAGTTTGAAGACAGGCGAACTGTCCTCATCATTATCCATATCTTCTAAGAATGCCTCTAGCTCAGCAAACGCTATGCCATGCAGGCAAGAATCATCTCCATCATTGCCTTTGGGTGGAGCCTGCCTGGATCTGTTGTACAAGGAAATTAGGCAACCGTGATGGTACTTGGCCTCAATGGCAATCATGTCTCCTGCTGCGAGCTTGGCCAACAGAGCAGTGTCCCCAACTTCAAAGGCACACCTACGCACGTTACCAGGTTGATGCTTTATGTAAGCCTGTAGAACCAGCAGGCTCATTGCAGAAGAGACAAGTAGGGTCTGCAGACTGTGGATGGCTGTGAGCAGATCTCGTGTGAACAGCAGAGGTAGATCATTCAATCGCTCCAGGTCGATGTTTATTGGCATGTGCTGAAGAGTCTGGAACCGGAGAATGTCTTCGGCCAAGGATGCATAGCCACTACCAATAGTCCGTTTCGTAGATCTGAGAGGACATTGTAAGGATTCATCTGTTACTATTTGGCAGAGGACACAAGTGTCCCAGTTTGTGCTTGGGGGTGGCTTTGATAGCTTGGATGTCGAGGGCTGGGTGGGGTCTATTAGATGGAGACGCTTTGACATGGTTGCGACAAAATCACAACAGCAGGAGAGAGGAT